GTAGGTGGATAATGGAACTCTAGCCTAAACCTATGGTGTTTGGCCTCATTTTTGTTAATTATGACATTAATTCAATATATCAATTAGGTTTGAGTTTGAAAGACTGATTTTGCATTATAAACAAACAAACAATATACTTAAATAATTTTTTTATTACACATTCGCAATTATTATGCTTACGTAAAATAATAATAATAGAAACAAAAAAAACCGACTGAGGCAGTAAAAAAGTAAGTAATAACAGAATGGAGTTTTTCATTTACAGTAGGTTAGTACCTACTACCTAGTCAGATAATTTTAGAGTCAGTGCCAACCCACGCAAGGCAAACAAAAACGAAGAATTAATTCAGATATGAATACAAGGTATTAACTTTAATTATAGATCATGTATTCATATCTAAATATATGTATTTTGCTTAATTTTACATTTGACGTATTTATATTTGTATTTCCGAAGTTAAGTAACAGGAAGTATGAAGAGTTTTAATTTTCTGAGACATTTTGAAATAAATTTTGAACACAATAAATTTTGTTTTTGTTTTTTTCAAATAACTCTTACGATATCTAAAATCAACAGATATAAACAAAACTAGTACAATTTTATTCATTGATCCTAACACGTGGTATCAGCAACCTAGGGCCTCAACGTGTGATAATTATTGCTCTATCAACTTTAAGTACTTGTTAAAATTGTACTATATATACCTGTAAATGAAATTACAGCATATATCATATATATAACATCCATGGACGAATTTTCGTTCATGATAACATCCTAAAAGATGACATGTAAGCCGTCATACTAAATACTATTTTTTTTTGTTTATGTACCGAAATTTTTGTTTTATATACCTATAGTTACGTTTTTCGGGCGAATTTTTGAAACACTGAAAGCTATTTTAACAGGACTTTAATGTAGTTTTTTAGTAGGTTGAAAAATAGAATTTATTATGCCGAGAAGATAAAGTTTTCGTGCGATAGGGATTTGTTGAAAAAAATCATATTTTATATAACAATTTCTCGACAGACGTTAATATAAGTTAGCACTTTTATCTGAAACAAATCACAATTTAATGTACACTTTATCTCTTAAAAATATCCCTGGTTCCCTGTAGAGCAGTAAACATTTTGTTTAGAATAAGTAAAAACTTTGTACAATAATTTCTTTCAAAAAGAATGAATATTGTGTATGAATTTGTGTGTATCACAAATCAAGTTTTCTCAATACAATTAAAGGTATAAACTTAAGACTTAAAACTATGTTATTTTGTATTGTTTTATTTATCTTTTAAAGGAGGTTAGTACTAATTTCCGCGCATTAATTACAGAGTTTGATACAAACTTTTATACCCGCCTATGAATGAAGTAAAAAGAAAAATGCTAAAACACGTACATATTTATCTAATTGTATTGGGAACATGAATGCCAAGTTTCAAGTAATTCTGATCATCAATAATTTTTTGTCCATATAAACTTTTATTACCCGCTTTTATCCCTTTACGGGATGAATTTCGAAAAAATCTAAATATATGTATGTCTTATTTTTTATCTTTAAGTTAAATACCACTTTTTGTATATTTCACATTAAAAATGACAGAGTTTCATATAATCTATCATCCTCTATTTGACCCCTTAGGGGATGAATTTCGAAACATCCTTTCTTATCGGATGGCTACATTATATAAGGAATAGGTACTCCAAATTTTACGTTTCTAAGACCAGCGGTTTAGACTTTGCGTTGATCCGTCAGTCTGTCAGTCAGAACAAAGCATAGTAAATGATTACTTTGATCAAAATAAAACAAACTGACAAGTGACATATTAGCTCATCTAAATATTTTTTTTTACTGCGTACATATTAGAAAAATGGACTCAAAATAGTTACTAATATCGGTACACAAAATTTATATTAATTATGTGCCTGCAAAGGTATAAATAAAGATAAGGTTTTCATATTATATAACATATTACGATATTAATTGTTGCCTCATTATAGATTTTGATATTGGTCTGTTATTAAATTTCACTTAAATCCGTCCAGACATTTTAGCGAGAAGCAGTAACAAACATACACACAAACGCATACAACTTTCGCATATATAATTGTAGCCGGATTATTATTTTATTTACTGCTAGGCTGCAGGTACAGCTGACGGCTTTACTCGCATGTGTTTGGTCTGCCACTGTTAAATATAACCGGATCTGACCGTACTGGGATAACGTATATGTAAATGTTTTAATTTAAGATATTCTCATAACAAGAAAATTGTCCCATTGAAATCTATAAAGCAATTTTCTAATGATGATAGAAAAGTTTCTATAAATTTTCAAAAAATTTTGCGCATCTTATATTTTCATTTTTGACTACTATTTTATTACATGACATATGAAAAACGTTTTCTTGTTTATACTTTATGTATATTTTTTAATCTTTAAAGATTTTACTCTTTTTACCTAAAAATTTGCCGAGTTTATGATTAGCCGAATCAGATATTACTGAAGCAAGATTCTTTCCAAACAAGGTAATTCCAGTAAGTTTTCATATTCAGCATTGACGGTGACTGCCGAAGTTCAGCGCCAAGGACTAGCCTGTGTGAATGTAATCCAAAAGAAAGCTTTCTGCGTCTCCTATATCATTCAGATCTCCTAAACTTCTTTCTCTCTATGATACGTTTATAAGCGTTTCTTTTATTTTATATATAAAAGTATACATGTATAACAAAAATTGGAAATAGAATATTGTTACGTTCTTGTACAGGAATTTATTATTAAAAATTTCTCATAATTTATTTTCTATTGTGTCCTTTCCATTTTTATACTATAAATGAAAAAATATAATATGAAGATTTTTGTATGCTTCTGACACAATAACGTACGCGTGAATCCTCAAAAAATTTTATATGAAACTTGACACAATGGAATTAGAAGATAATACCTGACGTATTGGATATTTTCTAATTCCAGTAATTCGTTTCCATAACATAATCATTCAATTGAACGTTATTTTAACAACTATTTAGTTGTGAACAAATTAATATATGATACATAGCAGTTACACGAAGGCGGATACGCAGGAGCTAATATATTAGCTGCTGATTCTTTTATTGTAAGTAGATCCAGTATTTAAATGAATTTCTACATTTTTATGTTTAAAGAAATCGAGATTGTGTTATAATCTTATTTTTATTCAATTTCGTCGTATTTTTCCATTTCACGTAACATCTGCGAATTTATGATTATACGAGTATCTAAGAGAAATATTTTACTTATATATTACAAAGAAAAATAAGTGAATCGAAATATTTCGTGTACCATCAATAAATGTTTAACCTTGAACTATCAAGGTAACTTAATGATAAAAATATTTCGAGACCAAAATTTTCATAAAACGATCGCGTTTAAAATAAATGTGTAACCTGTATGATAGGTGTTTATTAAGTAAAATATTTCTTATATTACAAATGAATTTAATGAAATTTAAAATTATTATATTAGAAATATAACACAGTCAATGTCCATTGTTTATTCCTTCTATATATTATTTTATTTTAATGGAACTAAATAAAAACTTAAAAAAAACCGACTTCCAGGCACTAAAATGTAATAAATAACTAAACGGGAGTTATAGAATAGATACCTAATCGGATATTTTTGAAGTCGGTGCCAGCCGATGCAAAGGAAATCTAATATATTTCGATACGTAAAATACATCACAAATTGTTGTATAATATTTTAACTAGATATATTAGAGTTCATACCTAATCATATTTACCTATTAGATATTTATATCTTAAAATATTGCCGGCTGGCACCGACTTCGAAAATATCTGATTAGGTATCTAAATGATAACCCCCGTTTAGTTATTTTTTTCATTTTAGTGCCTGGAAGTCGGTTGATTTTTTTAAGATTTTATTTTTCCATTTTTAGTGTAGACGTGTTAAGCAGGTAATTAGTAAGAAGAAAGTTTTTAATTATCATATTCGATTAAAGCAATTTATTCAAAAAAAATATTTATTGTTAATTTTTTTAAAAACCAATTTCGTTAAAATTTAAATGGTACCACCAGGGAAGTATAAACTTCGAAAGAAAAACGGACAAATGCGAGTCTGACTCGCCCACCGAGGGTTCCGTACAAATTTGTAGGAAATCAGTTTAACTTTAATTTTCAACTTATTTTATTTTTTGGAATTTTTCCTTTATTTGTGCTGTAAGAACTTGCTTTTTGCCAAATTTCGTCATTCTATGTCAACGGGAACTACCATATATCCTATTACTTTCGACCCAAAACCTATAGGGTACTTCCGGTTAACCTAGAATTCTCAATTTTGGTTAAAAGCAAGGTCTTACAGTACAAGTATAGGGGAAATCCGAAAAATAAAAAGTAGTAAATTAAGGTAAATTTTGGTACTTACAAGTGTCTCTCACACTCAGGACCATAACTTTTATACACCTAATAGTGAGTAGACTACAGACCTCAGTATCTGGTATAAATTCAACTTGCTAGGTCCACCCGTTTCTGAGAAAATCGGTGGTGACACATGGACAGACAGACGGACAGGCGCACAAGAGTGTGATCTTATAAGGGTTCCTTTTTTTGCCTTTGAGGTACGGAACCCTAAAAAGATTCCGACAAATTGAGGAACTCCTCCTCTTTGGAAGTCGATTTAAAATAGGTTGCATTTCATTATTTTATAAAAAAGCTCAGCGATATAGTTAGTTAATGAAACATAATATTTTACTTATCTTAATTATTTAGAGCTAAAAGATATATGCACAGCAAGTTTAAAAAATATCCTAATCATTTAATTTTTCATTCATAACATTTAGTATTACATACATACAGGAATACTAATCAACTTGGATAAGTTAGAAAACTTTCGAACTTTCATGTTCTCATATTCGATATAATATTATAATAGCGGCAGTGAGTATTTTCTAAAAGTTTATCTATATTCTACAATTTAAATGATATTCTTCTACTTAATATGTGAAAGTACTTACCACTGCAAGAGACGACAGTAGGTGCATACACCACACTTAACCGGCGGCGGCGGCCGCGTGGTCACCGCCGCACATGTTGTTAAAAAACAAGCAGTCGCTTTTGACACAAAGTCACTCACTTTAGTGTCGTAGCTATTAACAAAAATATTAAAGAGAATAATAAAAAAAATATCCTAAATTCAACAGAACGCGGTACGCGAGTAGCGATGTTTTCCTTGAGCTTTCGCAGCGTTTCGAGTCGCGTAGATTGCCCACGAGGCTACAGCCGACTGGCGCGAGCTTTGGGCGGGCGGCCGCGCCCCTTCGTTTCGCCCCTCACCTACCACTGCCTTAAAAATTCTTGAAATTTTACTACATACTTTGAACAGTGTTTCGACCTCGCAAAACTTCAGTTACCGCTGTATGCTTAATCACTGTCCTGGTAGCTGTGAGGGAAACTGTTTATTATATATCCCGCTAAATGAAATATATTCAACAAGTAGGAATAATAAATAATAAGAACGTAGACGTATATAAGTAGTTATTTATTAACTATTTAATTTGAAAATGTGGTACTTAATAATATACTAAGAAATATGTAAAATTTTATATTCATCTCAACCTTATGTGGGTAAGAATATTTTTAATATGTTTTATTCTTTAATCAATTCATGACAACAAAAGGGCTTTATACCTGGTCGATATTTAAGAACTAAATTCAATCGAAACAACAACCCTTATTTGGTACACGATTTTATACATAAATTAGAACTCAATTACAAATTCAAATTACTTTTAAGGTTTCTGTTTTGTTACGACAATAAAAACAATTCTAAGAGTCCTTTTAAATTTGAATAACTTATTTATTAACTTATACGTTTTTAATATATAGAGAGAAAAATGAAAGCCAAATAAAATGTTAAATCAGCTTTTTATAAGATAAATTTGCACTGACAAAACCGCCGTATATATGGCGCAAATTATTTACAAGTAATTAACTCAATAACGGGCAAGGGCAGATTAAGAGCATTTTACCGTTGTAAACACACGTGCATTCCTATTCCTTTCAGTCGTCGGAAATCAGATACGATCGCAGAGAGATCAAGCCCACGACCTAAGTCTTTATATATTCCCGGAGGCTTAGCTGAGAATTTCTTGAGAGATAACCCAATAACTATTGCAGTCCCGATCCGGAACCTGAACCAAGAACCTTATTATTTGCGTCCGTAAATGTAAGCTATTGTAGCCAACTGAGCAGTAGATTCATGCGTACGTGTAATAATGGAATGGATCAATGCAATCAATACAAAATATTTGAAGTCAAGTTTAAAAATATGAATTTACTTACTAGTACTACTGTAGAGTATTTTTATGTTATTTTTATCAATTTATATGAATATACGTATGTTTATGTTAAAAATTATCATTTAAATTATTTTCCAAGACATAGCTGCCGAGTCGGCTAATATGATAAGTACCTAGGTACATAGATAGAATTTTGTGTATTTAAATAGAAGTTAAACATGAAAATTAAGGACTAACCGCTTCCCTAACCAAACACTATCAGTGGTTTTTTATATTGAAAACTACCAATATTAAATCTTTTGTAAATGAAAAATTTACTTCTATTCAATATGAAATTACTACCTTAGTACTAAGCATCTTAGTAAAAACGCAAAGTAGTTCTTGAAATATTATTGTTGATTTTTTTCACTTTTCAGTTACTACTAAGTTCAGTTCAGTTTTTCAGTTACTAATTTCAGTTGCTATCGGTCGGTATATGACGAAATGTACAAACACGAGAGAGTACGCTATCAAAAAACACGCCGTCAATCAAAACTTCTGACAAATACGTCAAACATAGTTTGATTAATAAACGTTTAGAACAAAACCGCGAACTTTCAAGTAATTTAACAAAAAAATATAGAAAATTCATTAAATCATTTACCAAAACCAAAGTGTTCTTATCAAATCACAATTTTTAAGAAGCTATTCATTAGTGAAAGTAAATTTTACATGAATTTAACATCAAGCTAACAATTTACTCCTCTTGACCCTTATAAAAATTTTCGCACTGATGAGAGGCGATGCTATAATTTGGCCTTTTGCTTCTAATTAACTAATATGTTGCCTTCAGATAGTTTATCATACGAAAACTAAACAATAAAGAAAAGTGGAAGTACTAAACATTTACTAAATATAATTATTTGAATTTGTAGAGTATTCCCATTATACAATATGTTACAGTAATGAATATCGTTACGATTATTGTTTATTTAACTAAAACTTTTCAGACTCGTTTCCATTTAATACAACTCATTATTCAACCATCTTTGTCTTCAGGTCTAAACTTGATCTCTTAAGATTTATTTATTCGACATTCTACTATAACGCTTGTTGGCTATAAAATAAAGATCGAGCAGCATTTTTTTTATACATATATCTCCATCTTTTATTTTCCATGTGATCAGCTAAACGTGCCTGAATATTTCGTAGAAAAGTAAATCTGTCGTATTTAAAATTCGTATTCAATTATATTATTCCCCAAAGAGACTCTAACAGAAAGGTAACAAAAGAGGGACCTTCTACCGGGACCGACTGCTACAACAAATAGAGCAAAGAAATACACGTAGTATTTTATTCGATAAATTTTCCTTGTGATCATGGATTTTTCCATATATATTATGTGTAACAACATGTATATTACATATATAGTAAATATGATATCAACCAGATATCTTCACATTTATTTATACACTTTAAATATTTCTAACTGATTCATTATACCTACTTACTATCATTAAACGAACTCGAGTGGATTGTACTCGTAATGAATTTATTTGTTGTTGAATTTGTAGATTTGTAAATACATCCATAGTTCATATAATATGTAATTAAAAAAAAATCTTTATAAAACTTTACTTTTTGTCGGATAACTATTAAAATTTTCACTAAAGTTATCTTCATTAACATTGATGGCATCTATAAGCTATACATTATCTTACCTGAAAAAAAAGAAATGATGCGAATTACTAGAATTACACTAATAAATTATTGAAAAATTTAAGGAATTACTCTAATGACAATCGTAATAATATGTATTAAAATTTATCAAATAGAAAGAAAATTAAAGATAATCATCTCAAAATCTACCGAAAAACGAAAATATTTATAATTTATTTTACACCTTACAGACAGGCATACATATCGGATGAATTTTTTATAGGTACAAATAACATTAACAAATTTTTGAAATTGGGGTTTTTCTGTATTTTTATAACAAACAATCGTTGCTCTCAATATACTTCTGCGTGTTGTCACTCACGTGGAATGGGCAATAAACGCCGTCACTGTTGCAAAAGGCATAAACGTTCGACTATAAACTGTTAACGAGCGCCTTAGGATTACCTAAGGTCTACTTATCTACAACAACTTCACACAAATTGGGGGAAAAAATCTAAACAACGTAGAGTAATTACGACGTAATGAGATCAAGCTGATATAGCATTGCTGCAATGATAGATTCCATCTGAAGACGGATAAAATTACACTTTAATAATACCCTTTAATCTTATTTGAGGAGCAAGGCAATAAAAAGTAATTTTATTTACATTTAATTATTTAATATAAAGTATGACGCAGAAACGGAAAAGTTACAAGGTAATAAGCTGTTTTATAGGTGTGTAGGTGTATACGTACATATAACACAGCTACGTTGTTTCATTTTAAACCTTCTCTAAGAATGTAACATTATAGCAGTTAAACGACCATGTCTTTTTATATACGGAATAAAATAGTACTAAAATGATTATGAACAACAAGCAATAGCTTTGAGCGAATATCGACAGATCAAAACAAAAGGATGCCTTAACAAACAAAACATTAACAAGCTAAAGCAAAGGATTTGCATCAGATGCAGTTATATCAATATTGTGCCAATACGCTTTTAAGATACATTTATTGGCGTCATGTGTAGTGTTGCCAGGTGTTATTAATTTAGTTAGTGAGATAATGAATAAAAATCAATTTTTGTACATGCGTTTAAAATAAAAATATTACTTCATATGTGTTAGTGTAACACGTACAGTATAATCCAAAAAAAAATATATAATATTATATTTAATTGAACTCATTTTGAGTAAACATAGTAAAACGTTGTGCTCTTAATTATAACTTAAATCTACTATACAAGAAATATTAAGTATTATTTTGACTTCTCGGCTGTAAATCTAATAGATAGTTTTATTATCCCAAAGAACGGGGAGTTTTTCTATTTTTTTACACCTGGCAATACTGCTCACAGGTTCTGTGACGCTTGAGGACGAGACTGGTGCGTAACTCACGTTTCTCGTATGACGTCACTAGGAAAATGAACCCGGCATCCCAGTTTTGGGTCAATGGCCAATCTACAAATAGAAAAGATCCAATTTAAATTTAACATCGCATTTCACGCGCAATTTTAATATTCAAATCATATTTCGTGAATGTTCTCATTGTTTCATTGGAACTTAATATTTAGCTTGTTATGTATGTTTCTTGTAGCAACACTTTTAAGAATTGTAATGGACATCGATCGACATGAATATTCACGCAATTTGAATATGAACGGAATTAAATGAACGCACTTTTCATGTTCTCATGGTATCTTATCATGAGATTAAAACAATTATTGTGTAAATGATTAGCTGGTACGTTTGTACTCAATTCACTGTACGTGTCCCAAAAACGGTTAAATACCTGTGTCACTTTATAATAAAAAAAAAACCACTTATTACAGCTAGTGATTGCTGATACAGTTTTAACGTATTTTTGGAACCTATACAAAAATATATTTTAGCATCTACAAGATGGGTGTATTTAAATATACCCATACCCTTCATCGTCCTGATCACTGTCAACACCGTTACATTCCGTATCACTCATTTTAAAGCACTTTGCTATGACCAGCACACTCGTCCGAATCTCTTCGGAGCGATACCGAATACTGCCATGCCTTGCCCTTGGTAAAAGATTACCTTTAGTGCAAGCTACATTATTAAATTAAGTAAAGTTAACTTATGGACAACATGAAGCATGCGCCATATCGACGACACTCAGGTCACGAACGCACGTTTAAGGCTTCCGCGTAATCCCTTTAAAGACTAACTTGTTTCGTCCGTGGCTTTGAATATTTTTAGATCTTAATTTATTTACTTGACACGTACATATTATTCAATCTATACTATTTTTAACAGAACCATACTCCAGATATGCTATTTATACTTATGTATAAATTGGCTATTATTCACCTAGTGTTGTTTATAATACGAGGGAAAAATTAAATAAAAGTAAATAGTACAAACACACTCGTTAAGTTTCACTATGTACTCATTTACTTCAAGAAAGATACATTAATTTGCATGGCCATTGGTCTCTACACAAGGATCTAGAATTCTGGTGTTAGCTTCGAGCAAATTGTTTAATTTGCGATTGAATTTTCGTTCACGATAAAGTTTAAATTGTTGCCTTTACTCGCGGCAGCGTCGAGTCATCGTGTTACGCGAAACAAATGGAAGCAAAATATCAACATCTAAACAAGTCTAATTTCATTTCGATTTGTCGAGAAGTTATTGGATATTTGCCATGCGTACGCTTCAATCCAGAGCTTTTCTGGAGGGTATTTATAACTTTACTGACGTTTTGGATACTATGCTTGGCAATTTTATTATTTTCTGTTTAATAAATAAATATTAAACGAATTTTACGATTAATCTAAAAATATCTTAGCTGTAAACTAGAAACAAAGCAAAAAGAACTCGTAAGAGAAAAGATAATAATCCAATTCCACCACCTTTCCTAATAACAATGTCCAGGATGGACAGCCTTGTCGTTAATAAGTCTATCATAGAGATTAAAAATAATTTAATAAAGATTATCAGTAATAAAGCAACTAAGTTAGCTATATACTATATACTGTCTAACCTTAAATTCAAGGACATTGAAAAGGCATTTAGATATCAGATGATGGTTCTATAATTCCCCTATGAGACGTAGAGCAAATAAAATAAGCTCTTCAATCAATCTAAACGGATACTTGTCCACAAAGTTTTAATAGATTGCCTTCGATAGTGCCTCCACTTAGCGTAATGGTCTAGTGATTTTTTATGTATGTCAGAAAAAAAATCACTTGTTATACCGCTTGACTACTTCTTACTTACAATATGTAAGTATCAGGCATTTCGTAACTTGTATGAACTTAGGTTATCTGTTAATTTTGTTTTTTAAGTGAAACCGTTAATGGTATTCTTTATATCTTCATATCAAGAAGGATGGTTGTGATTTTCTTGTCAAAGCAACTTCCATTTTGAGAACTTTACTTTTGTAGAAGCAACTCTATGCAAAATTAAGCAAAAGCATAAAGCTTGGATTAAAACATGTTACTATATCTTATTCTAATAACTAGCGGCTCACCCTCGCTTCGCTCGGGTTCGTCGCTAGGTACGTTTTAAATAGATATAAATAGTTATTAGCCAGTGTTATTAGCCATATAAATATATTTTTTTCGTTAATTTTTCTGACGTTTTAATACTTAGGTATTAACCTATTCCGGAATGAGAGAAATCCAAAAATTCAAATATCATAAAAATTGGTCCAGCCGTTCTTGAGTCTTGTATACGGGAACGCAGTCGAACGGGCTAAAGTATCCTATGTCCGTCTCCTGGTTCTAAGCTACCTCCCCACCAAGTTTCAGCCAAATCGGTTCAGCCGTTCTTGAATTATAAATAGTGTAACTAACACGACTTTCTTTTATATATATAGATACTATAGTTTAGAAAATATCTTCCTTTAAAGTTTCGCTATTTCTTCACACACTCATGTTTATCAAGAAAAGAAGAAAACAGTAAATAAAAATTAACTTTTTTACCAATACTAACAGTATTACACAATTATTTATTTGCCGTTGGTTATTTAAGTTAAGAATCCAGATGAATGTCTAAGGAAACTTATTTTGTAAAGTACAACAATAATTTTACTTATTAAAGTGTTTCAATAAAATTGAAAAGGCTAACAGTACATAAACGATATGACTTATTAAATACTAGCGATTCACCATTGCTTCGCTCGGGTTCATCCCTTTAGGTACCTATGTTTTAACGGTTAGTATAGAATCATTATGAAAAGTCGATCGCTTGCTCTGTGAAAAAGAACAAATCTATCAAACACGAACCATACCCTTTTCCGGGATAAAAAGTAACCTATGTGCTATTCCAGGTTATAATCTATCTCTGTGCCAAATTTCATTCAGATCCGTTTTGCCGTTCTGGCGTGATTGAGTAACAAACATTTATTAAAACTTTTGCTTTTATAATACCTACTAGCAGATCCCGCGGCTTCGCTCGTGATAAAACTACAAAAAGTCTCTAAAAAGGTAGTTTCGTATACAAACTTTCATCCCCTATTTTACCCCTTTATAGGATGAATTTCAAAAATGCTATAACACGTATTTATTAAATTTTATTGAAAAGCATTAATACTAACTTTCAAGTAATTCTGATCATAATTTTTTTTTATTGTATTATAGCGTACTATCCCGTGGGAATTAGATACTCTCCCGTGGTAAAAAACAAAAACAACAAACCAACCAAACAGACATACAGACAAAAAAAAGTATAACTATTGTTTTGGGGCCTATATTCTGTAGGTACACAACAAGTAACAGTCATTGTTTTTAAAAAATATTTCATGTACAAATTTTGCTAAGTTACTGTTTTATTATATACCAGCATTGCCGCGGCTCCGCCCGCATTCAGATGACCAAAAACCAAATTCTTAGGTTTTACATATTAGTATACTCTTACATTGCAGTTTTTGTATTTTTTCTCAGAAATGAGACATTTTCCCGCGGTAAAAAGTATCCTACATGTTGACCCGGATAACCAGCTATCACCATACAAAATTGGACAGACAGACAAAAATTCTAAAAACTATAGATTCGGCCTCTATATCGATAATAATATCTATTTCAATAAGATTTTCCAAAAAATATTTAATGTACAGATTCGGCTAAGTTACAATTTTATTAAACTTTAAAAAAATGTTTCTTGTATTTTTATTATTCGTTGTCATAACGGCGTTAGAAATACATACTCTGTGAAATTTTCAACTCTCTGACAGACGGACGGAGGGACAGCGGAGGCTAAGTAATAGGGCTCCCTTCCGCACCCTTCGGGCACGGAATCCTAAAAATGATCCTCACAGCGCGGCGCAGAAAATTCAAATATCGTATACAAACCGTTTTTATGAATACGCAGAATTACTCACTGTTAACTAAGGGAAAAATTTTCAATCATCGATGAAATTGTAAAATTATGGAAATTTGATTTATGAGCCCCTTATTTCATTTTCCTGGCAGTTTTTTTTTAAATTATCCATATAATTTATGTACCCTACAACGTACATTTTAGATTTGATTAATTTTACATACCTACTTAGATAATTACGAGTAGCATCAACTATAATTTATTTAAGCTATTTTTTCTTTGTAATTGATAGAACTAGTTATTTATAATATAAGCTATTTATAGCATTCGATTCTCAATAATAATTCTATAATACCTATAAAAAAGAATCGCTGAATGTGTTGGTAAGCGCAAATCTCGAGAGCAGCTGAACCGATTTTGCTAATTCTTTTTTAGAATATTCCTTGAAGTACGAGGATGGTTGTTATCGAGAGAAAAATTTAAAAAATTGCCTGAAAAAGTCTAAAAACAACACTTTTATATAGTCCCATACAAAAGATTCGTAATAATACTTAAAAGTCAATTTGAACTTTAATGCCATAACATAAAGTTTAAGTGTTAGTGGAGAGGTTCCGGGAAGGCAAAACATTGATGGCAATTGAGTGACCTTAGAATCGTATAAATATTAATGTCAATATTTGTCAATATTATTAACAAAAAAAAAATGTATATGGCTAACGCTGGCTAATAACTATTTATATCTATTTAAAACGTACCTAGCAACGAACCCGAGCGAAGCGAGGGTGAGCCGCTAGTTACATATATATAGATTTTAGGGATATGAAGGAGGAGGAGTTAGGAGTAATGTTAGGGATGATAAGTACTACGCGCTTAAAAACAGATGTTATACAGGCTTAACTTAAGATCCAAAATTCAGTATAAAAATACATTTAGGCTAAATTCAAAAGTAAATAAATCAGTGGAAGTCAGACACATACGGCATACCAGTTGTTATAATATTAGTCATCGCAAAACAATGCTGTGATTACTATGAATGATTATTACATAAATGTAGGTGTAACTACCTAGTTTTTTATTGGTTACTTTGGCGACGGAAGAACTAATAAGGTCAACTATAATAGTAAAGATAAGCGACATATATTATCTAAAAACGAATGTGTTACATATTATATGATATACTAACGACTCACCCTCGCTTCGCTCGGGTTCGTCCTTAGAATTTAGTTGAGAGAATTTTGTTGTGAGTTGTATTATAACGTGTTTTCCCGTGGGAAAGTGATAATCTTCCGCGTTAAAAGTAGCCTATATCACTCTCCAGCCCTAAAAATCACACATATCCGTCACTCTGTTTCGATATGAAAGAAGGACAAACAAACAAACAAACAAACAAACAAACAAACAAACAAACAAACAAACAAACAAACAAACACACTTTCACATTTGTAATATGTATAGTGTGGATGTACTTTACTTTTACGTTTTTTTAATTTTCAATTTCGTTTAATAATATTTTTGTAAGACCATTCAGATGTTAGTAATCAGTTTTTACCCGACTGCGGCGAAGCCCAACATGTAGGAAGGTACATTTGTATGTCTCCAACTGCATAATACTATGTTACTTCGTCAACTAGTTCTCTTCTTTTTAGTTCACTTTTCAAGCAGTCGGGTTTTTTTTATTTTTGTAAAAAAAAAATATTATTTGTACGCGATTATTTTTTACTTTATATTACTCGTACATCTGTGTTAAGGAAAATAATAATACACGTATGCTGGTTACATGCGGTAAAGGTAGGTATTTTCAAGATCCCCCCCAACGTGCGTTCACCTTGTCGTGGTGGGGGGGCTCAGTAGTAGTAGCGAAGCTAAGAAACGCACAGGGAGGTTGCCCACTTCGGTGGGCGGTGGGAGGTGGCCCTCTTCGGGGGGCGGTGTACCTTGCGGGTTGCTCCTGGTACTTCTCTCAAACAGACTGGACCGATTTTGATGAAATTTTTTGTGTGTGTTCAAGAGGATCTGGGATTGGTTTAGATTTACAATTTGAATAATAATTTTCATCAAAATGGTCCAGAATGTTTTAGCTTATTAAAAAAAGTTTGAAATTTTCAAATTAAAGACGTGTAGACAGGACAACGTCTGTCGGGTCCGCTAGTATCTATATATTATAATAAACTAGCGACTCACCCTCGCTTCGCTCGGGTTCGTCCCTAACTTGCTTCCCCGTACAATCTTTCATCCCCATTCTAATTCTAATCTTTCACCCCCTTAAGGGATGATTTCCGCGATAAAAACTATTTCACTCACTCACTCTTCATATCATGAGATTTAAAAAAACATATTGTAGTAAAAAAAATCTTTAATTTTCTTCTATACAAAGCTTGTCCTGAAAATAACAAACACAAAAAAAGAATTATCCAATTTGCTGCAGTCGGAAATTATGCGCGTACATACATTTAACATTTCGGTGATTCATTTTTATTTGTATAGTAGATAAAATAGAAACAAAACGAAATCTCTATCTATAGCTATAAAACAATAACTGTTACGTATTGTGTACAGAATATAGAGCCCGATGAATAAGTAGGTACTTCTTTCTGTCGCCTGTATGCATTTCGCGCCTAAAGTACTGAACAGATTTTATCTAAATTTTGACATTCAGGTCACGACTGGTACTGTCGAGTCGTCCTTAGAAATTTACATGGGTAAACTCTAAGAAAAGATACATCAAAATAATGTAGTAAAAAATTGTAGGTCTTAAATATTTGTAGGTATTAAAAGGCCTACAGAACAAGCGCAGCCAGGGTATTTCACTTGTGTTGAAATAGTTTTATTATGATGATTAAAAACTAGCCTCAGTCTGTCTCGGTGTAATTGAATGGTACATATAGTATATGTACTCGTATAATATAAATTTACATCAAGGATTTTTACCACTAGAATCATATTTAGAATTGTGCCATCTGCCGCCAGTGTTATAGTTATGTGCATTAGCCCAGACGAATGGCGTCGTAAGAGCGAAAATTTCATTACTGCAAATGTGGAAAATGTCGCGAGCCTAGAGTGTTAAAACTTGGCACATCAGCCCGGCATCGTTATCATACGTATATTTTTAGTTGATAATATTATACAATTCAAGAAAGGATTTGAGATTTACGAAATTAAATAGTATGCTTGGTGTGAAAGTAATAAATATTAAAAACTCGGACTACAATAAAACAAATATATTCAAATCGCATTCATATTTATTCGATACAAGTAATTACATAATAATGAGGTGCCAAACTTGGAAAAACATGCACACATACATAATTACTACATTCATCGCTATCAAACCACATTAATACGCATTTCGGCATTAACTCTTACTAGGTGTATATAAATATAAAACATAAAATTTAGAGACATATCACATTCAGTTAGCATTGTCTTAAAGAGAAATAACCATCCGTGTTGTCTACCTTCAAAGTCATTCGGAAATCCCTTAAGAACAGAAAAAGCAAATTCCATCAATAATTGTTTAGGCTTTCCATTAGAAACTATTAAGTGAAATAATAAAAAAAAATATATAAGCCCTTCTAGTCATATTTTGAACAATTGTAACACAACTACTACTAAAATAAAAACAAATGTACGTTATATTATCATAACCGAGTGTGATATGACAAAAAATTAAGTAAAATTTTATATATTTTAACTATTATACACTGGACACAAATAATTTTCAAATTTTAGTTACAAGGAATAAACACTTGCAAAACATTTAACTGGGGACGTGTCATGAGAGTGGCAGTTAATTGTTAAAATTGTACCTAATGAAAGGAGAACTTAAGGAAGGCACCAATTGACACCTTTTTAACTCCACATTGACCTCAGAATATAAGCGTAGTAAATTTTGAAATACAATTCCACTTATTACGTTATAACTAGGGTGCATTTATCATAGGAAGATCTTGAACAACTACGTGTAGATACTTTTAAAGAAACTTTAAGAAACAATTTTAAACTAAGATTATTTTTTATATTTCATTCTATTTCTGTTTATTATTTAGCAATTCAATCTTCTTACGATAAATGAACTCAAAATCACTTGTCTAAGACCCCAATTATTATTATTATATTATAATAACAAGTATCATTATTATATTTATGACTAGACAAATGTATTTTGATTATAAATAGACCAATTATTATCGCCGATAAATTAGTCGCTGATAATTTTATATAGGTAAAGGAAGTACATCGACAGACGATAAGGATAACTGTACGTTTTATTCAACACAGCCACGGTAATGTTTTAAATTATAACATTACCGCGACGCAGCTCACAATACTTTTATTGACTTATTGTTAGTTACATACATACATTTAATTTTGAACAACGTTTAGTCAATAAAATTATTTATTGTGATATTTTTATATATTGTAATTCTCTTACATTGAGATCAGTAGCAAATGCTGTAATATTAAATATTACGTTTACTCATGGTATTATATATAATTTAAAATCCTTAATAATTGTTACATAATATGGACTATGGCTAGTCTAAAATATTTGTAATAGTTTGACGGCAATTATAAACTCTTTATGTAAAGAGTAATTGTGCGTTTTAAAAGTTTATAAAAGGAAACTGAAGTAAATACATAAATTATTTTTTACTATTTTGTGTTTTGTATTGTACCTGAAATGTTTGAAAAAATACACTCAGAATTGTAATTTATCATAGTGCTCTTCCCTTCCTACATTAACATGTTTTAGTTTCGGTTGTTCTTTATACATTTTCATAAGTCTCACAATTTACATCTTATATAATACGAAGAATGTAAATATTTTTATTTATTAACTTTTAATCCTAAAAAGATTAATACTAATACTGCTTTGCTCTCCCCGCATTTGCTTTATTATTTGTCAACATAATTGTACATGTATATTAAATATTGTTAAATTTTAACTCAATTTGGGCATTTTTTAAATCTTATTTCTTTTGTATTAAATTGGATTGCTGTCAAAGATTGGACAAAATGTATCAAATTTACAAGGATGTGTGAAGATTTTAATAACATATTTCTAAAATTAAGTACGCAATATATGGGACAAAAATACGAATGTGGTACTTAGGTATTATATTTTAGCCTGATTAAGTATTTTACCTTAACAGTGTGTCCCCATTTTCCTTAACAATTCAGCTTTACATACATGCATTCTCAACCAACGTGATTTATGCTATCATTTATATTCTACCGACAGTCTATTATTGACATTATGGTTACCACAGAATTATATTTGTGCTGTCTTAAAAGATATTACTACTAACATTTATTTTGTCTAAGTAAATTGGAATTTTGCATATGAGCTTTCATATAAAAATAAATTCGCTCTTAAAATAAGAATACCTATAAAATATCAAGCAAATAGAAAAACAACAATAACAAAACTAGTCAAAAAATATTTCTTATAGAAAACTTTAAAACAAAAATTATCTTCAATATGAAAAAAAACTGCAATGAACTTCTATTCAAAAGATACAATTTAAAAATAAATAACAGTATATAACATGTCTTGAAAATTTACAAACATTATATTAACATAATATAAGGTTTTTTACTAAGTCTTTGGTAACAAAGGATAGGTGACTAATCACTTGTTCATGTTTTGAAACACAATCTCTTGATATAAATAAATATTAAGACTAACCCACAATCAAATTCAACATTCATCATCCAAGCAAAATACATCTTAAGTAATTTGTGCTATATTTATACTGCAAAGTCTTCAGTATAGAAACAAATCATACTGTTACTGGTATTTTAACTTCTTTGTTTACAATATAAAATTTGTGCTTCTTGCCTAAAACTCCCCATATAACAGCAATATTTTCAATTACTATGTTGATAGGAATTGTAGCTAAAGCCCCTCCAATAAACAAAATAAATTTAAGGGCACCAAATCTATGTATCGGAAAAGACTTCATAACACCAAATATGTACATGTATATATTAACAGCACCTATGGACCCACATATTAAATCTAAAATGTGTGGACATGGAATTGGACAAATGGCTGCTAATAACATATTGCTAGTTGACAAAGGTAGTGTCACCCATGAATAACAAGATATTGCTAAGAAAATCTTCTTAATAACAGCTATTTCCCGAGAATGAACCACTAATAGTATTCCCTGAATCCACCTTTTCCTCTGTTGCATAAAATCCCAAAGAGTGAAAGGCGATTTTTCCCACATTTCTCCTTCAATAAAATTAAAACTGTAACCCTGTACATATGCCTTCATAGCAAAGTAACAGTCTTCAGCTACTGAACCATCAAGACCATTGTCAAATGAAACTTTTTTCTCTGCACTTACCTAAAACAATTAATTACATTATTTAACACATGAATTCTTTATAGGAACATAAAACAATAAAATAGAACAAAAAACAATACATACTTGAGTTACTACATAAGAACCCTTCCAACTGAAGAGTGGTTTATGAAATAAATAGAACTGAAATCTGAGCTTTCCCATATCATCCGCTACACGAAAACTGTCAGCAAGTGTTGTCAACCAGTTAACAATATGTTCATTTGCATAAGTTATCAGACCTTGGCCAAATTGGTGTTGACCATCAAATACAAAATTTAATATTCCGCGAACAGAATTCTCTGTTAGCAAAGTTTCTTCATCCAAATGTACAATCCAATCATTTTCTGCCAATATGTTGATACTATCTTCTAAGCAGTACTGTAGAGCTCTTGCTTTAAACAAAGCACCTGTTTTTGTCTTATATTCAGCTGGCACTACTACTTCTCTAACTCTCCTATGTTTAGGCAAATTAATAGCTTTATCTGTAACTACTTCAATCATAAAATTCTCCATTCCAACATCAATACACATGTTCAGATTTCTTGATACATTATCACGTACAAGTTTTGGAAAATCACCTCTAGTCACAACTCTAATACAAATGAAAGGTGCTAGTAATGGAGATCCTTTTAATTTTACTTTTCCTGGAAATGCATTAAAAAATATCAAACCACCAAAATTGCATAGAACTTGAGGTATAGTAAGCAACGTTAGGAGCCTAAAAATATATAACATAAGTGCTCCATAGATGCCATAAGATTCGAAAGGATCAATATAGGGTTTCTCTTTGTTATCTAGATTGATAGCACCCGCAAATACGAGGAATAAATATATAAAAGATATGAAAAACATGCAGTGAAGCAAGTGCTGTATTCTTCCTCTAAGCATTCTGAAACAAAAATAATCCTTATCTTACATATGAATCATAGAGATAAATAATCACGAAATACCAAACTTACGACATTGATTACATCGCTAGATAATATTCTTATGACGATAAGTAAAATTGTCCAATTTAGAATTTATTTAGAATATTTTTTACAATGTTATTATTGCTTCCCATAAACGACTATTTGGTTAAAATACGTGTAGAAAAAACAATAAGTAGCGATAGAAAGAACACGCATAGATAAAATATTTAGTTGATTTAATTCAATGAAATTTCTACTTTATTAAATAGGTACATATCATTTACATTAACTTTTTGAATATTATACGTAATATATAATAAAAATTACCTTGGGTTTTGATATTCCGGCCTAAAAGATAAATGTATCACAGGTATTGCGAATTATAATTAAATATAAACCATGAAGATAAATGTAAAAAACTTATGTTAAACAGTGAAATTCTTCATAAATTTATATTAGTAAACCTATTTAAATTATATTCTATGAAACGTAAGTGCACACCCCACTGACATTCAAACAAAGATTAAACAGATACAATTTTAAAAACTATCGGCCTGGATTGGTCGAAAAACTAATGCAGATAAAAAATTGAAACTGATGACGGCTCGATCCACAGATTTCATAGATGTAGAAAAGGATTAAGATATTATATTTACTAAAAAGAATGGAGAAGAATTTTGCCTTTTTCACCCGCCGCATATCACGATCACTATGGCCCTCAGTATTTTTATTTCTCATCCATGCTCAGTATATTGTAAAGTTCTATAGCTTGGATGGTTTTTTTTTCATTTTATTTAAAATGTAATTCAAATGACAAATTGTGCAGTGCCAGGATGCACAGAAAATGGCTATCATTTGTTCCCAAAACACAAAAACTGAAGAAATTGTGGGCTAAAAGCAATAAAACAACCAAAATTAGCGAAATCTGTATATTTAAGGCTATGTGGACATCATTTTTAACCGACTTCCAAAAAGGAGGAAGTTCCAATTCGTCGGAATCCTTTTTTTTCTTTTTTTTATGTATGTTCACCGATTACTCGAAGACGCCTGAACCGATTTGGAATTTTTTTTGTGTTACAAAGGGAATACTTTCCAGGTGGTTCCATATAAAATCAACAATAAATATATTTTTTAAATAAATTATTGTTTAATCGAATATGTTATTAAAAACTTTCTTCTTACAAATACCTGCTTATTATGTCTACACTAAAAATGGAAAAATAAAAACTTGAAAAAAAAAACGACTTCCAGGCACTAAAATATAAAAAATAACTAAACGGAGGTTTTCATTTAGGAATAGATACCTAATCAGATATTTTCGAAGTCTAGAAGTCTAAGAATTTCTAATAGGTAATTTATATGTATTTTACGTATCGAAATATATTAGATTTGCTTTGCATCGGCTGACACCAACTTCGAAAATATCTAATTAGGTATCTATTCTAAATTAAAAATTCCGTTTAGTTATTTTTTACATTTTAGTGTCTGGAAATCATTTTTTTTACGTTTTTATACAGAAAGTGATTCTAAAACTCTTAAATCGTCTACAGGTCAATATTTATTATTTATTTTTTGTATTTTTTTACATATTCATTACAGAATTTCATACAAACTTTTGTCCCGTATTTTACCCACTTATGGAATGAATTTCAAAAAATCCTTTCTTATTTAATGCCTACATCATTTACGGAATACGTCCTCCAAATTTCACGTTTCTACGTCCAGCGACATAATAAAAGCAAAAAACCTGGTACAAAAGAGATCCCCCCAATGTGCGTTTACCTTGTCATGGTGGGGGGGCTTAGTAGTGCCCGGCAATCCAACCGGGTGCGAAGCCAAGAAACGCACAGGGAGGTGGCCCACTTCGGTGGGTGATGGGAGGTGGTCCTCTTCGATGGGCGGTGTATCATGTGGGTTGCTCCTGGTACTTCTCTGATAGCAGAGTGGACCGGAGCAACCTCAGGGTAGTGTTGGTCTGCTTCGGCAGACCTGCCGTCGGGGCATCGTAGTTGAATGCGAAAGCGATCCTGCGACGCCCCATTAAGACGGGGGAAGATTTTGTTGGATTTTAGTGGGTAGTACTGGCTTCGTCGGTGAGTCCCACACCTCGTGCGTAAATGCATTAAAAAAAACGCCAACATTAAAAAAAGGTACAAAAGAGATATAACAATAAATTGCACATCAGACTGAATTTAAATATGCCATACGTGTAGCACCCTCTTTTCGAGAATTCTTTCTTATAAATTCCTATATTTTTTTCGTTTAAGAAAAAACAATATTTTTTTTAAATATAAAACTTTTAAATTGACAATGCAGATGCAGCCTTAAATCTTGAAATTTAAGTATCGATTTCTACATCACTATTTTTAAATGCTGTCAAATGCACAATTTCATTTTCGTGCCACAGTCAGTAGTTCTGAATTCTGATTTTTTTTTAAATACATTATGTTTACTCATGCATCAAATTATTTATATACATAATAAATATTCACTGTCAGGGTTTTAATTGTAAGTTCTTTTAATTGTGAGTTTTCAACGAGTAAACAATGTTATGGCAAAATCTGAAAAGCAGTATCTGGAAGAGAAAGTGTCTCAAATAATAAATAACGGGTCGATATGAATATGTCTGTCTCGGATCTTTCTGTTGGTTGTCGATTTGCAGATTATTTTGTAATATGTGGACTTGATTTTGATTCGGGATTAGAAACTGATAGACTTAGCGGTAATTTTAATTTTCCCTTTGTTTTTTATATTCGTCGTGACGCGTATGTATTTGTATATAATAATATATTGTTGAAATAATTTTAGGCGATAATCTACATATATCTCCACTTGATCGCTCATATAAAGGAAAAGTTTTAGCTCACTATCCAGACAATGTTAACAGCAACCAGTTTGATGAGCATGCTGTGTGCATGGTAAGTTTGATATATTGTGTATCAAAATAATATACAACATCTACCTTATTTACTTGTTTATAAATATGATAATACATACATGAACTCATTAAATCAAATACATTTATGATCAAAAGGTATTATTTTAACTAAATTTTTATAATGCATTTTTACAGCTTTGTTTACCAGCTGGTCTACAATTTAGAACACAAAAACATTCATTAGAACCAAAGTTTCATAGTTTTGTTGTTACAAGAGAAAATGCATCTAGATATTATGGATTCAGTCTTATGTTCTATGAAGAAGTTAGAAATAGAAATATATGCAGTGCCATGCATACATTACAGGTGAGTTCAGAAATCTTAATGCGGCTATTATAAATAGAAAATGAGCTTTATAAACAAAAACACATGCCTATTATATAGTTTAAAATACTAACTAGTTCTTAACTACAACTTATTAACATTTTTTTCCTAGGTCATGTACCATTTTATGGTTTACTTGTAAGACACAAGATAAGAGTAAAGCTAGTTTTTCCTTTAAGAATTAAATGACATAAAAGAATCTATACAGAAATAAAATAGTAACACTATACATATAATAAAATAGTAACTAACAATGAGCCAAATCTGTACATTAAATATTTTTTGGAAAATCTTATTAAAATAGCAATTATTAAGAGGCAGAATCTACAGCTTTTAGAATTTTTGTCTGTCTATCTGGGAACACATCACAAGAAAACCACTGGACCGATTTTGATAAAATTTGGAATGATGATAGCTGCTTATCCAGGTCAACAAATAGAATATCTTTTAATGTGGGAAAATATCTCATTTCTGAGAATTCTATACTAATTGTTAAACATACCTAGGGACCAACCAGAGTGAGGAGAGTGAGTTGCTAGTATAATATATGAAGGATAATTTATGAGAAAATCTTAGATAACATAATTTGTTATTTTACAGGCAATGTATATCACTGAATTATCAAGTGGCCAAACTCCACCAGGGAATAGGAAGGGATCTGGTAAAGAAAGCTCAAGATCTCTACCTAGATCCTTCAAATTAGCACCACACACAGGAGCAGCCCTAACATATTATGATATAACCAAAGATAAACTCTATGTAGCCAAAAGTATAGCACTTATATGCCAATACCCTTATGTTAGGGTTGCACAATTATTTTTAGAGAATTTATTTAGGTAAGGTTTTTGTTGTAAACTGATAATCAAATTTTATAAACAATTTATTTGCATTGTATAATAAATCAATGGAGATTTCTAGGTCATTACCCAGACAGCCAGGACCTGGACTTAGTCCTGAGTCTTATGTCTACAATCTTTTGTATGAAGTACCCGTGCCATTGCCAGGGCAGGCTTTACGTCTCTATGTTCCACCATCAGAACCACATTTGGATCCAATACCAGTTGTAAGTATGAGGAAGTGTTAAATAAATTTGAATATAATACAAAATAAGTTATTTTGTGGTTTAGTGCTTTTTACCTAATTGAAATAATTTACTGTTTACAGGTGATAAGAATGCCAAATGCACCTGAGGAGCTACCTCTATTAGATTATCCACTGCGAGTGATGTTTTCCCATCTTGGTGTGGAATGTGTAGTACAGTTGTTCACTTGTGTGCTTTTGGAACATCAGGTGTTACTAAGATCTAGTGGTATGTTTGCTGTCTGTAATAATCAGAAAAGTAAAAGTGATTTATAAAAAATATTTTACTATAATATTTTTTATATCCTATCAGCAGTACAGAAGATGTACTGCGACCCCAAGCTATTGGGAAATGGGCAGGCAGATATCATTTTACTATAATTTTTTTTTAGTTTTATGCATAATCTGTATGGTTCCTTAAAAGTATCAGGAAAAATAATTTTGATAAAGATTGTTAAAAACTGTAATTTTTTATTAATTTATTGAGATTGATATATAATTCATGAATCCTTAATGAGGTTGAGGATGCCTGCATATATGACTCCAGGATTATCCATTTTGTTTTGTCAACAACAATTTTTTTTTTGCCAAACTTTTCATATCAGAATTTTGTTACTTTCAGATTTTAACAAGCTCATGTTAGTGGCGGAGTGCATTGTATCTCTCCTGTTACCCTTTTCATGGGCACATGTGTATGTACCAATATTGCCTTCACCTTTACATCATTTTCTCGATGCTCCTGTGCCATTCGTTATGGGTGCGTACTTATTACCTTTTACTTTTTAGTCAGTTTAACCTACCAACCAACTAAAATTATATTGTGAAATAAAAAAATGCAGTCCAATATACATCTTTTGTCAATATTTCTAAGGTCACAATTGAAATTATTTCAGATAAATACTTAATAATTTATCGACAACTATATTTAGAATTGCAATTAGATTGTTGACACCACCAATCAATTGACATACTTGTTATGAGCTGTCGAACTGTAATTCTTCCATATAATTTTTATAGTAATAGCAACATGTGTCATCTCTTATTCGCCCTCTCAATTGAGTAGCTGTTTATTGATTTCAGAGTAACTAAAAATATAAAATATTAATGATAAAACTTTAAATTTCATAGTTAAATGAACGATTGGAAAATGAATAAAAGTTTTTTTAAACAAGTTGTTTCTTGGAAATATTGATTAATTGTTATCAACAAAAAAATATATCTCACAGTAACTTAATATTTTTTGATATTTTACTCTCCATTTTGTTTGATTTTGTAGGCTTACATGCGGACAGTGCAGCAATTACAATAGGCAGCAACGGTCCACGTAATATTGCATTAGGTTCTGAAGCAGCTCTTTGTTTGGTAGATATAGACAAACCAGACATACAATTACCCGAGGAACTACCAATACTTCCACACAGGACGCCATTTATAGAAGAGCTGAACCATGTTTTAGATAAGCATCAGGTTAATGATCATAGTATTATAATTGAATGAAATAGAATATTATATACTATAGGTACATAACTTAACTTTTTATAAGTCCCAAGGTTATAGTTCTAGTTTATAGGATAAATAAAAAAACAATGTTTTCAGTAGTGTAAACAAATATTATTTTAAAACTGTTACTGTTAAGTTTCTCGTCAGCTCTTCTAAGCAGGACTGCTTTTCGAGCTGAAATATTAATTTGTATTCTTCATATTGTAATTTGTATGCTTAATTTCATTCAAAATTGTTTACATTAAAAGCTCTTCAATGTTTTCTATTTCTTATCATTCTTTTATAGATCCAAAGACCTGAAACTGAACCAACTAAACTTGGTGTGCCATTAAATGGAACTTCATACAAACATATGAATGATGGCATGAGTAGCAGTTGCACGTTACCTTCAGGTAGCTATTACTCTAATATAACAGTCTACTAATCTATAAAGTCATCTAGCGAAGGCGTCTAGACAGGACAATCATGTGGGCCATAGTTGGGAAATGGTTTGAAACCTACCTCAAGATGGCGCTACTGTGTTTTAACTTCGATTGGGTAAGAAATCACTACATAGTATAAAACAAAGTCGCTTCCCGCTGTCTGTATGTCCCTGTGTATGCTTATATCTTTAAAACTACGCAACGGATTTTGATGTGGTTTTTTTTAACCTGTCTACGACTGCCGAGATAAAGGTGGCTTGGTAAACAATTAATTTCTTAGAATTTAACCATAAGGTGTTAATAGATAGAGTGATTCAAGAGGAAGGTTTATATGTATAATACATGCATTAAGTACAGAATAACCGAGAAATTCAATTTCGTACTAACCGCTAAAACGTACCTAGGGATGAATCCGAGCGAATCAAGGGTGATTCACTAGTTGCCAAAAATAAATGTTTGACAACCTTCGCGATTGGCAGCATTTCCGTTAAACTTAAAACTGTATAGATTTTTATACTGTGCTAATATTATAAGGATGGATATTAATGAGTGATTGAGAATGTTTGCTAATTGTTTTTTTTTTCACGAATTTGTGGCAAAATAATTTAAATAACATTTGGAATTGATAGTATATGTCCTAATTGAACATATAAGCTATTTTTATCATGCTCTCCACACGAGCTAAGTTGTAGATAAAAAAAGTTTTAATTTAATATAATGTTTAATACTCTTTATTTGTATGATAACATTAATTTTAAATTTATAATTAAATAAATGTAAGAGAGACTAATTTCTACCTGTCCAATAAAGAAAAAAAATCCTTTAAAGGTTTCTTCTTTCAAATTTTATGTTATGTCGATAACGATATCTGGCATATCTAAATGCTCTTACATAATATCTTATATGAACTCTTATAATCGTTTGTTATCACTTTGTCTGATATATTATCATTGATGTATTTTCATTCATGAAATGAATGGAGATGTAGCAATGTAACATGAATTAAGGTACTACACTACTGTGTACTGAAATTTTATTACTTTTTCATGGGTTAATTTTAAGAATAATACTAGGAAATTTAAACAGAGTTAAATCAAATTTGATGCATTTCATATAACTTTGTAACATATTAAATGAAATCTCTCATTATGAGTACCACATTTTTTTTAAAGTATTACAGTATATATACGAAAGTCCGATTTTTTATACCTTACTTTTGAAAGTATTGGTTCTAGAATTTTGAAGAAAATACACGAGTCTTATTTCTAAATTTATTATTTCTAAATAACAGAGTTCTTATAACTGTCTTTTCCGAATTTTTCGCGGATTTATTTAATTTTTTGGTTCCGTGCGTTTTGAGTGCTTTACAGCAATCATGGTCATGTCAGGTCATCAGGAAAAATCCGAAGTGAAGTGTTTTAATTAAAATATCAAATTTTTGGCTAAAAATAAAAGTATTATGTGTATGTTTTTTTATATCACTTGTAAAAAATCTCGGAATTACTTTCAAGTGTGATGTGATCCTAGATTTACGCAAATATTTGAGATTTTAAATAAAACTATCTTTTTTGATTATTTTGCGGATTTATTTCGATTTTTAGTCTGCGGTGTTTCAAATGCTTTATAGCAATCATAGTCACGGGAGATTTTAGACGTCTTAAAGTCGTTATATACCTGTTACAGACAATGCCTACAATTTTACAAAAATGATTTTAAGAAATGGCTCCATGATTGCTGTAAAGCATTCGAAACGTCGGGAACCAAAAATCAAGATAGATCCGCTAAATAATCAAAAAAGATAGTTTTATCTATACTAATATTATAAAGAGGTAAACTTTGTGAGTTTGTGACGTTGTTGGCTGTATATCTCTGGATCTACTGAATCGATTTAAATGAAATTTGGTAAGAAGATAGTTTGAGACCCTGAGAAGGACATAGGATACTTTTTGTCCCAGAAATCATCTCTTAAGGGGGTGAAAATGGGAATGAAATTCTCTATGGGAAATCAAGCTTTTCAGGGAATTTTGAATATTTTTAAGTGTGTTAAATTTGTGTGTAATATTTACTGGTATATTGTCTCGTGCAGGCGGTCTCCGTCGCAAGCACTCGTTCCACGACGTGCTGGAGTGGGAGGAGAGCCGCCCGCTGAACGCGTCGCCGCCGGGCTCGCCGCGCCGCGCGCCGCGCCGCCTCGACACGCTGCAGCGGATCGTGGACATCGTTAAGCGTACTGGTAATGTAGACAGCGGTATACTTATTTGTATTCAGCCCTTTTTAACGTCCCGCTACTGGGCTCGAGCGCTTTCAATACGAGGGGGATCAGGCCATAGTCCACCACGCTGGCCACGTGCGGGTTGGCGGACTTAACATGTCTTCCGAAAACTTGCTACGTTCTCTCAGACACGCAGGTTTCCTCATGATGTTTTTCGTCACCGTTAAGACCAGTGGTAATCATGATAGAAATGATTCGCACATGAAAGTATCAGAGGTGCGAGACCCGAGATTTGAACCCGCTTCACTTCACTCGGTTTCCCAAGCGAGCGCGTTACCGCTGGGCTACCACAGCCATTATACTTATTTACTGCTATGAAACATCTATTGACGCGCGCCTCGGCAGTAAAAGCGACTCATGGTGTGCCGGCAAGCGGCGACGTGACGCTGTTATGTCATCATGCCCCCTCTACGCGATCGCGGTCGACTCCCTTGTAAAACAGGCTCTATTACAAATACTTTCATATATATATATGAGTATATATTCTGTAAATAATAATACGTATTTGTAGAAATAATAAAAAATATATTTTCTAAAGTTACTCCATATTGCCCTTACTAAACATATTCGAATTAATTTCGTTTTGTAAGTTTAGTAATTTAAATTTAACTTGAGATGATAAATTTTAATAATATTTAAATGTTGCAGGAGTTAATATAGATGATGTGGACGCAGAAACAGTAATGCCAACCGCAAAGAAAAAAATACTCAACGATGAAGACCAGTATAATGAAGATGTGCGCTTTAATATTTCAATACGAGAAACATTCCTCAACAGATTTGTTCACATGTTTTTGATGTATGAAAACTTCGTTATAATGCCAGACCAGGTAATGAAGAGAACTTCATTTAGGTTTTTGTAAATATGCTTTTTAAATTTATTTCCTTTAGTTGGTACACAATATCATAGAAACCCAACAAGAGATGAACAATCTAAATTCATTATAAATATTTTAGTCAATTCCTTTCTTTAAACTTTAAAAACAAAAGATTTGATTTTTTTGTATGTTTATATCTTTGTTTGTAATGAATAAACTTAAACCCGTTTTTAAAAATTATTTCACATATAGAATGCAACATTTTCAACAAGTACTTAACATGTGGAAATTGACTGTATTTTATTTTGAAAAAATTAGAGATCCCTACGATTCCTAAAATTGCAATAATGTAATCCAAGGTATCAAAAGAAATAGTCATTATTGCTTCCGCAATTTCCGCTATTGATGATGCATAAAATATTATATTACATATATATTTATAATACTCATCATATTGCTATTACATATGGATATATGGGGCATTCCACGCCAAATCGGACGGTTTCAGAAATGGTTTTTCTGAAAATTATATATTTTTCAACCAGTGATCGAAAAAATATCAAAACTTACCAGAAAGCCTCTTTTGAGAGGTACTAAAAAGTACCAAAATATTAAGAAAATTTTTTTTTTTTTAAACCTTCCGATTTGGCGTGGCTTGTCCCATATGTAAGTAACAGTGTAAATATTATAGTTGAGTAAATGTTCCATAAAAGTAAAACTAAGTAATTAAAATTTGTTTCAGGATCGCGACTCATGGCTGTCAGCACGAGAGTCTATGGTGAACTTTGACAAAGCGTCGTTCCTGTCCGACCAACCGCAACGTCATAGACCATTCCTCTCACGCTTTCTAGAAACACAAATGTTCGCTACACTCATTGATAACAAAATAATGGGCAATTGGGGAGAATACGATGCTAACCTACAAGTTTTTGAACACAGAATTCGTGCTGTTAGGTAAGTTCTAGAATGTTCTGCATGTAGTTTGTTTGCACTAAGAATGCGGTTTGTTGGTTATGAACTAATGTGTTTGGGGAAATGGTTTTATTTTTTCAAAATGATTCCTTTAGGATAGGTGAAGATTAATGGTGTAAGTCAATACTGAAATATAAAGTTTACATTAGCGAAAATACCATAATACGTTGTTTAAATTTATTCTCATTTAAGTTTTGCTATGAAAAAAAATTGTTTAAAATAGACAGCGCAATTTCAATATACCATTTTTGACTTTGTTTTTGGTGAGTTCCGTCCGTCTCTGATCTGCTTAAAGTTAAACTCTTCACCAATGCTCTAATAATATTACAACTAAACCTGTTCTAACACGCTTAGCATGTTAACTGAAGAGTGAACACAGAAAAGACTGAATATGAATGCAATTTTTTTTTCTATAATATAATTAAATTAGTTTTTGACTACATTATGTAAATAACAGTTTCTTTTTAATAATAACATGAATAATAAAGCATCACATCCCCACTAATATTTGGGGATGCTTTGAAAGTAGAAAAATAACAACAATTTTTATTACTTTTAAATGCAGCTTATTATATTCTTAATATAAAACAACACTGACAGTTTATAATCGGTTGTTTCGATACAAAAATGTCTAATATAATTAAAAACAAAAACATCGCATGTTCGTCACCGCAGGCTGTAGCAAGTTTAACCTGCGCAGTATCGGTGATAAGAGTATAAGGCAGGGGCTATTTTTCAGGGGGCGCTTAGGGGAAGGGGGTCTCGCGACGCGGGGTTACAGCGTGTGGGCGGGCGCGGGGGGCGCGGGGGTGCGGGGGGCGCGGGGTGGGCGTGCGAGGTGGAGGTGGGCGCGCCGGGCGAGCGCCTGCCGCACCGCGCCGCCTACTACCGGGCCTTCCCCGCGCGCCTCGACGCCGCCGCGCTCGCGCCGCCCACGCCGGCCGACCGCAGGTGCGACACGCGCACGCAATAAACTGGTTTTTTTATGTGTCTGTGGTGTCAGGGCGTGGCTAGTGCCGGTCCACCGGGCCCGGGTGTCACCCGATTGAGGATAGCACCCGTCTGATTGCAAGTTTTTTATTTTATTTATTTAAAAAAGTACTCTAACGACATACATATTAAAACATATACATTTGCAAGACAGTAACAAGTAATCAGATTTGTATGTCTTTATAAGTGTAGGTATATTACATTCGCTATAATGACATAATCAAAAGTGTACATTAAATTGTAATAAATTCCTGTTACACAATAAATACAGTTCAAATATAATAAAAATGATTCATAATAAGTCAACACCTGTCAGCTCAAAATAATTTAAATAACGTAATTTATTTTTTATTAATATTTTTTTTATTATTATTATTTTTAAATAAAAAAAGAGTCAAATAAAATAAGTCAAATAAGTTTCCTGTATTGCCTTTCTGGTGCCATCTGTTATTGTTTAACACCCGTGACAACTTGTGATTGTGTTCGTGCTTTCTGTTTAAGGGATAACTCCCGATTACAAATGAATTCCGAGTTTCGATAAACGAGGAGGCGTTTTTAGGGGTCCATATATATCCAAGGTTTACTGTCCCCTATATAACCTATGCTAGCCACGCCACTGTGTGTTGTTGTATTGAAATGAAACTAAATACTAGGGAAGTACATGTTGTGGTTTTTGAAATCATCTCAATTTGTTGTAAATATTATGCTCGTGCTAGTATAAAATACACACATTCTTTTGCCTACAGTTTACACAAGTTTTTTTTGCCTACAGTTTCATTTTATTATATATACACGTGTAGATTATTAATACTTTGAATATAATGTTAGCCATTTATGTAGTTTATCTTGAAAACCTTTAAGTACGAATGATTCTTAATGAAAAGAAATATTTTATAAGAATAATAGTATTTAATCTGAATAACACATAAGCTGGTCGATCCCAATATTTAATACACGTAGAACCATATAACTTAATAAATATAATAAGCATGCATGTACCAAGAGAACGCACAGAAATTATACACTGATACCACATTTAGATATTTATCATTTATAAATAAAAATAATTAGTTGAAAATATGTTAAAAATGTTCCTAGAATATTGTCCATTGTCCGTGCTTATGTAAGTTTCATTAGTAGATTGAATTATAATATTACTCGAATATTATTATGTTATTAAATTCCATTATCAGGTAACTATTATTTTTTTATTTAATTATAGCGTAGTCAAAATATAGAGCAGCTTTTTATGGGGTTATTCAAGGGGCGGACCAATAAAGTCCTGAAAAGCCGGCAACGCATTAGTGGTGCCTCTGGTGCTACAAATGTTCATGGGCGGCGGTAATCTCTTAACATCAGGAGACCCGCCTGCTCGTTTGCTCGCTTATATTATAAAAATAAAATAAAAAAAAATACATATTATTAATAATTATATTGTTACTCTTTAGAGGTCCATGGTGATGCTTAGTGATGGAATTTAATGATATAAATATAGTATTAGTATTTGAGGCATTTCACGTGAAGCGGACAACGAAAATAAAGTGAGGTTGTGAAAATTGTTCATACTCTGGTCAGTTATAGTTCTAGTGGACATGGACGTGCAAATACATAATTTTTTTTTCGTATGATGCTTTTTTGCCGAGTTTTGAGCTGTTAAAAATTTACGAAGTATGAAATCCGTACTTTTTGAATGCTCATTATTTGTATCGATCAATTTGTAAAAATATCTAAAAAATATCGTACCCTAAAGTTAAAAGGATGCAGTTTTTATTTTTTTTATCGAATTACAAATTTGTTTCTTTTTACGTATAGTAAACCGGAAGTGAAGATTTCAATTGGATATTTGAGTAACTTCGACATAATTTTTTTTCAATATTTTAACTTTGAATTAAAGCTTTGAATATCTTAATTCTTCACAAAAAAAATTATAACGTGATCGCCAATAGTTCAGGACTTAGAGCATATTGAGTACATACACATCGCTAGGAGAATTTTCGTAGCAGTTATGTTTATGAGTTAACATGCTAAAATACTATGCTGTTACCATTTTATTCTTTCATTTTAACATGCATAAATATAAAAATATAAGAAATTAATTTCTTTTTTTTTGAAAAAAATTTATGTCGAAGTTACTCAAATATCCAATTGAAATCTTCACTTCCGGTTTACTATACGTAAAAAGAAACAAATTTGTAATACGATAAAAAAAATAAAAACTGCATCCTTTTAACTTTAAGGTACGATATTTTTTAGATATTTTTACAAATTGATTGATACAAATAATAAGCATTCAAAAAGTACGGATTTCATACTTCGTAAATTTTTAACAGTTCATAACTAGGCAATAAAGCATCATATGAAAAAAATTATGTATTTGCACGTCCATGTCCACTAGAACTATAACTGACCAGAGTATGAACAATTTTCACAACCTCACTTTATTTTCGTTGTCCGCTTCACGTGAAATGCCCCCATTGGTTTGCTTGCTTACTGTGGTAGCATGCATAATTGTGATTTGTGCTTGTCTAAGATATGTTTTAGTGATCCTTTGTGTTATGTTATGTGAAATTTTGTTCTGGCATTGCGTTTTAATACTATATTTTATTTTAACAATTTAAAAAAAAACTTTGTATGTGTCTTGTGTCCTTTAGAATTTCAAATTTTTACTATGTAATTACGAAGAGCTTTAGTGTAAAAGAAAGAGATATTTTTATTTAGTTATTTATTTATTTATTGGCAGTTTAAAACGTACCTAATTTAAGGTTTCCTTGCCTATCTATATTAGTACAATTTAACTTGATACTCTTGTCCATAATAAAAAAGCCTAATTTATAAGTATTATTGTAGTGCGCTAATAAGTATTAATTATACCTACATATATAGTTTACAAGTTTTCTTTAAAAAGGCGTAGTATATGATATTACGCCAGGAAATAATGAATAGTGATTTGTTTTTTTTTAATTTAAGGATGTCAAACTGCGTCCGAATTATTTTAAAGTTGTTTTAACCGCATATTGTGCTCAAAGCATTTCTTTATATTTTTTAAATATTTAATTCTTTATATAATAAATGGTGTGACCATTGCAGCTGTTATAATATTCTAATTTTATAATGTTGAACATTTATTAGCACATTATCTTAACAGAAATATGTATAATGAGTAGTAGTTAGGCATTAATTTAATATAGTAATGAATTTGTAGTAATAATAATCAATTTTATGAGGACATTCGGCATTAAATTTGATGTTTAAATTACATTATAATTAGTGAAAAATCCCTCATAAAATTGATTCTTTTTAGACATTAATGTGGCTTCCAAATGTTATGAGTTTTTGCATGGCTGTTTTAAAGTTTTAACCGATTGCATATCATTTGTGTCGTGCTGTTGCGTGTTTGCGTGTTCTAAACGTGTATTTTGTTATTTGCTCATGTCGCGATTGCAGCTCAGTTTTGTTTTATTTTGTTAGTAAAAAACTACTGGTTTATTATTTTATTCGTAATTTAAAATTTTATATATGCATTTAAAATATTCATTTTTTATACACAATATAATGTAGAAAAGCATGTTCTGTTAACTTTGCATGTCACAAATATTACAAGCTGTTTATTTATATGTGCGATGATACATTTATTGGTGATTATAATTTATTTACCTAGTATATGGTAGTACAATAAGTAACAAATACCATGTATGTATAAACATATAGTATAATCTCAGTAATATAAGCAGAATAAGGTAGCTTAATATTAATCTCTACATTTCTATAGATATTGTTTATGTAGAAAAATAATAAAGATGTTGAATTAAATATATGCGTATTTTGAATATTTCTTTTAAATCATCTTTTCTTTTAACTTAAATTACATAATTTATTTTTGAAAATATTTTAAATGCTTTGTTGATATTAAAATAATTTTAATATAGTTTTAATGAACACATCACAATATAATAGAAAAAATAAGTTTCACAGTAACCAGCTGTAAATAGGTAAAGTAATAATAAATAATAACATTCAGTTATATTTTTGTTTATTAGTTATGTAATATAAAAGTAAAATGCCTCGCGCTTCTATCGCTTACAACTTTTTAAATATAGAAAAAATGGTTTAAATAATACTTTTATGTTGCAGAACTAATAGCTTGAAGCGTATAAAGAATGCGAAATGGCAAGTAAAAGATTGTCCGCCAGAACTCTTACTTGGAGATATAGGAAGAAGACTTTCTACTGAAGTCACTCCCGCCGCCATTGCCCAAAACAATAGAACTTTTGTGGAAAAACTTTTAAAGGTATATATAAAAATCATTAGACGAAGTCACTACATAGTATTAAACAAAGTCGCTTCCCACTGTCTGTCTGTCCCTATGTGTGCTTAGATCATTAAAACTACACAACGGATTTTGATGCGGTTTTTTTAATAGATATAGTGATTCTAGAGGAAGGTTTATATGTACAATACATGCATATTATAGTACAGAGAAGCCGAGAAACTCAAAGATTTGTATTTCATTCTAACCGTTAAATCGTACCTAGGGACGAACCCGAGCAAAGCGCGGGTGAGTCGCTAGTTACTATTATTTTTAATATTTAGGTTTTTTATAACTAAAGTTTTTTTTATTTTAAAAATATTTAAGTTTTAAATAAAACTATCAAAACTAACAAAATTAATTTTGTTAATTGTGGGTAGGCTGTCTGTAACAAACTATAGCTCCAAGACATGTAACACCTCAGTCTCTCCCGTGACCATGGATGCTGTAAAGCATTCGAAACGTCGGGAAACAAAAATGCAAATAAATCCGCGACAAAATCCGAAAAGATAGTTTTATTTAAAATGTCAAATATTCGCGTAAATCTAAGAAAGTAATATTTAAGTTTATTAAGTGAATCTAATTGAAAATAAAAAGTGTGCAATTCACACACAGTAGAAGTGAAACTTCAGAAAAATAGCCTACGAGAGAATGAGATGAAAATAGAGTACCAGTTAAAATATTTATATTATTTTAATATCTTTACGAAGTTTAGAGGTTATTTTACATTTTATTATGTTACATATTAATCAGTATTATTTTCCACTTCCTGTGTAATGATTGATTAAAATATTCTGTCTCATTCTCTCGCTGGCTCAATCCTATGTATTTCTGTGTTTGTCTCTTTGTCGTGATGCATTTTCATTTCATCGAGTTTCAAATCACAACGATTCTAAAAAAGTTTGTTTGTTTTGTTTATCATCAAATCTTTTGGTAGGTCTAAATTGTAATAACAGACTCCTTTTGTGAATTAAAAATCCAGGAATGCAAAAGTAAAACAAAGCGAATGCTTTTGGAAAAAATGGGAACAGAAGAGAGCGACTTAGGGCTCGGATGCGAGGTTTCTATCACAGGAGTAGAAGAGAGTACGATGATAGCTTCACTTTGTGATCTTTTGGAACGACTTTGGTCTCACGGCCTACAACATAAGATGGGAAAATCAGCTCTATGGATGCATTTGACAAATTATCAAGAATTAGAACAATGTAGCAACTCTACAAAACCTATTGATCCCAATTATTTAACGCCTGGTATGTGCTTTGATTTATATTTTTTGATTATTATTATTATTATAAAATATTTTTAATGAAAAATATACAAGTCTTATGTTTACGTATTATTTTAAACATGCAGCCTTGGCTTGGTGCGTTTTACGCAAACGGTTAGATTGTAAGTATACTTATTTAATCCTTTTATCATAGAAAGGTTTCAAATATATGTACTTGAATGTGTATTATAAACTCAGTACATATTTGTAATATTTATAATATCAAACTTGTCGTAATCATAATATGTAAAGATAGGTTTCGCAAAAGTTTAGTTTTTAAATGAACGAAGCTCATTGTATGAAGACCATGATGTTAGAGTAAATCACGTGGATATTACGACCAAAACGAAGTATGGGCTAAAATAATATTATAATGTTATAATGATACATTAAAAATATTTCTAGATTTATCATCTGTGGGCGCAGAAGTAGAAGCTCAACAAAGCACAAGTGCAAATAGGTCACGAGATAGTTCCCGGGGTGGATCCCGCGATAGTTCTCGAGATCGTCTCAGTAATTCTGGAACGCTAGAGAGGAAATCGTCACAGCCTCCGAATCCACTGCGGCCTCTACCCGAAAATCTTACGTTTGATATGAGGTTAGTGCACTTAAACGTTATTATCAAAATTATTTTAATGTTGTGTACAAATAATTATTATAATGCAGTGTTTTGTGAAGCGACTTATACTAATTTCAGTTTTTTTTTTATTTTATAATTCTTTGTGTTTAACATATTAAAACTTAATCAATTAACGCCCTATGTCATCTCGCTTCTATCCATACCAAATCTGTATGAAACTGTTATTTATATTTTTTAATTTTAGGAACGTGCAAGCAATGACCGATATAAAAACCGAAATCGGTTATGCCCGAGCGTGGGTCAGACTTTCGCTAGAGAAAAAACTTCTATCAAAGCATTTGAGAGAATTACTCTCGGATACAACTTTGCTTCGTTCTCAGTACAAAAGGACAGCCTTTCTACGATGTGAGGAAGAGCGGGAACAATTCTTGTACCACTTACTGACGCTTAACGCTGTGGACTATTATTGCTTTACTAATACTTATCCTACTACTAGTGAGTAACAATTATATATTATCTTAAAGTGCACAATTTTTAAGTGGCAGTCATTTAAAATATTAAAAAAAAAACATTAAATCTAAGAAAGTGTTGTGGCATTTATTTGGTCGCGCTTCAAGTAAAGTCATACCTATCTATTTCTTTCCGCTTGTCGTTGTAATGTTTTTTTTTTATTAATTTATAAAACTTTATTTTGACTAAAATAAAGTTTTATAAATTAATAAAAAAAAAATATTTATTTCAGATTTATGTATGTATATTTATTATTAAATTATATTCAATTTATTTTAATAGTACATATAGTTGAAATATGTAATTATTGTATAAAGGTCGGAAAGTAAATTAATTAGTCGGATGATTTAAAATACATTGAACATATACATAACGTATGTAACATTTAATTGTTATGTATGGACTAATAACCAATTTTTTTATTGTCTTTTGCCACAATTTTTTTACATTTACATAATACATATTCTTTTACTTTTACTTAGCTTTAACCTAAGTAAAAATGTTGACTTTTTGTCAAGCTGCGACATATATTTTGATATAATAATAATTATAATATTTATTTATAGAGTTGCCATATCGTGTTCTAATCGTGCCATCTCGTAAAGCGAGTCAAACAACCGCTAATTGCTGGCTTTCCATATCTGGCGCTAACGGCGAATCTACACCCAAAATACCAATACCAAGGAATACTAATGAGTTCGTGTTTCATGTAAGTAATCAAATATTATAAATGCGAAGATGTGTTTATTAACCGTAGGTTTTTTATGGTTCCGTACTTATTGGTACTATATTTTAATAGTACTTCCTGTTGACCTAGAAAGTCTTATAGCATAAGTTAAGGTCAAAATCCGAAAACCGTAGACTTGTAAATCACAATATATTTTTTTGCGTTAATAAACTTATTTTAATGTTCCATACTACCGAACTCTCGGTGTGCGAGTCAGACTCGCACTTGTCCGATTTTTTTATCTTACGCAGCAAAGCAACAGTTTGACGTGATTTTTTGCATAGGATTAGACTGTCAACAGACTGACACAGGCTATGTATGTATATCAGTAACGTGATGTACATATATAACCTATATATACATATATACGTGAAGTATTTGTGGTATAAATTGCGATGTTAATTATTAGTGTATTTCGTAATGCTGAAGATTTTGTAATCAAGACTTAAGCGAAGAAGGGACTGGAGGGCGGTTTTAACCTGTAATATCTTTTACTGTGTAGTAATTTTTGGTCGATATTTATCCATTTCTTTCACTTTTAGCATAAAAACTTGGGTATTTTATCAACGTTGCGCATTGGTCATGACAATTCCGGTCTATCACCAAGATGGCTCCTCGACCAAGTGTACGTGCGGAATGAAGTCACAGGTCACACCTACACGTAAGTAGATATTTTTTCTAATCAAGTTTATTTAATTGTTTATTATAGTTTGTAAGTAGTTTCTGTGTTTAAATTATAATATAAGAAAAAATATTTATTTTTAAATAAAAATTTAGATTACTCATAGTTCTACAGTTTTTCATTCTTATTTCTTAGATTATCCTAAACCAAGTTTAACTAAACTTTAGTTATAACCTAATGGTTATAACTAAAGTTATAATCTCTATTTTACATAAACAAGCGACTTACCCTCGCTTCGCTTACCCTAAATTTTTTTCTAAAATAAAACTAGCATAAGTTACAACTTATAACGTCAACTATCTGCCAGTAATAGTCCCATGAAAATCAGTCCAGCCATAAATACTTAACGTATAGAAGAAAATTAGAAAAATAATAATACTAAAATAAGTTTTTTTTAAAATCTCATGATATGAAAAGTGAGTGAGTGAAATAGTTTTTGTCCCGGAAATAACCATTAAGGGATTAAAGTTTGTATGGGAAAGCCAGCTAGGGACGAATGAGTGGCTAGTTTTGTTATATGTTTTGATACCGCCAGGTTCCCGTGCAACCGCTGGCTGGGCGCGGGCGTGGACGACGGCTCCACGGAGCGCGTGGTGGTGGCGGCGCGCGCGCGCGAGCGCTCGCCGCGCACGCCCGCGCACGCGCTCTCGCCCACCACGCACCTCTCCACCTCCACTATACAGCATATGATCGGTTAGTACTCACTATACTCTGTTGTTTTAATCTCGGAAACTAAATTGAAATATCGAATTTACAAATAATGCTGCCGGCTCTTTTGTGTAGTATTGTACCTACGATACCGGTTTGTTGAATCGTAACTTTTTGTCTTTAGTAGACGATTAGCTTCAAAGTTTTATATTCCAAAGTGTATAATTAAAATTCACTTTATTAATTCTAAGTCATTACATATCATATTTATTAATTTTAAATCATTAAAATCCACATTATTAAATTTAAATTTGCATTATTAATTTTGTATTATTATGTTTTAAATAAGTACTTACACATTATTTCAGGATAACTTATTATAAAAAAACGATACTTGATTTTATTAACGTTAATTTTCGATAGTGGCACATCGCTATTTAAGAATTGCAAAAAACTGGCAACCCACGTAACGTCAGTTTTGTCTCTGAGATTAAAAACAGATTATAATGATGAAACGGATATCCGGCAACTATCCGGCATCCAGCCGGGTACCGGATTTGGGTCAAAATCATAGAGGTAGAAAATTTCAGTCGAAAATATTTTTTTAAACTAAAACTGCAGTAAATTTAAAATATTGTCTTATTTACCGATTATTATAATTGATAGTCAATGACAGTCATGTAATTACTAAGTAAAAATGCGTTCTTATTTTAATTTTATTTCATTTAAAATACTCGAAAAATCATTTGACTGTAAAAACATTTTTATCGGAATAAAAAATAGCCTATAGCACTTAGCAGCAACGTAGCTTCCTATTGGTCCAAAACTTTTCAGAATCGTATGGAGTACATCATCTCTTCATAATATTAATATATGTAGATATTCATATGTATTATAATGTGGTAAATTCTTTAATATTTTACAGGCGATTGTGTAAATGCAATTGTAAAATGGCATTACCAGTCAAAACGTGATAAAGATGCGAATTCCTTAAGCGTTTTACTCTGTGGTGAAAATGGTTTGGTAAAATGCTTAGAGCAAGCATTCCTGTGTGGCTTCAAGTCAGCGAGGCTTTTTGGAAAGAATCTCTTCATTTGGGACTATTTTGGTAAGACTTGTAAATACTTTCTTAGATTTACGCGAATATTTGACTTTTTAAATAAAACTATTTTTTCGGGGATTTATTTTGGTTTTTGATTCTTCTTGAGACTCCCCCTAGTTTCTCCCGTGACCATGATGGCTGTAAAGCATTTGAAACGTCGGAAACCAAAAATCTAAATTGTTTTATTTAAAAAGACTTGTGAACATTATTTTTACTAAATCAAGGCTATATGAATATATTGCTACAGTCTAAAGAACTTTGCTAGTAGTTGGTAGGAAAAGTAGTTATTCGCTGAATTTCTCCCGTGTCTATGTCATGGACTCTTATCGAAACCGATTTTATCTGTTTATAAATTTGGTGAATTATTTCAGTCGTTCCGATAGATCCTATGCTCTTGAGTTTTTTCTTTCTTCGCGTTCTCATTGTTACAGACTAAATAAAAATACAAACGTATTTCCGACATTCGGGTTCGAATTTATAGATTAACCGGGCGTGACACAAAATTTTTAATCAAATAGAAAAAAATCTTTTCTCATAGCACATATAACTCGAACGTTATTTTTCCTTCGTGACATATGTTTTTCATGATTATATTTAATAATAAATTACATTAATAATAATGCCCTTTTGACCGATTTCGCCCACGGCAGCCAATCTAAGTGAGATATGATCCAAATACAAAAGTGCCCTCTCTATTCATGGATCCTGTCACTCTCATACTCCGGTGGGACGACTCTTCGACCGGTGAGAGTTAAGGCGCAGGACCGACACGACACGTGCTTTCCTAGACACATGGTGAAATACCGGCATCTTCCTAACTTCGAGCTGTTACTGAGAATTTCTTGACAGAAAAACTCAATATCTAAACTTCGCTCGACCCGAGACTCGAACCCATGGGCCTCCGGATCTGCGGCCGTACATGCTAGCCACTAGATTACCAAGGCAGTTAATTCTTTATATCACACACACACACACATCGTCTCACATCTAGTCGAAATAAATTATAGTTATAATAAAAACAATAACATTTCAGCGAGAGTAAAAGACGAATTCAAGATGAGCCTGTGCGACGAGCCCCAAACAAACAAAGGCTGTGGTGTCGCGTACAACTGCCGCCAGGACCAGGAGCACCGCGCCATCTGGCGCTGCTACTGCCACCTCATGGACGAGATCAGCTCTGTGGGCCGCTCGTTGGGGAAGGATGGGAAGTTTCAGCTTTTTATATGTTTAAGTTTAAGGTAATATTTTAGGTTGTTATTTGTTTGAGTCCCATAAAATTAGATTTAATTTGTAATTGTCTTACTTTAGTCTAGACTCTAGAGACTGGTAGCTCAGTGGTAACGATCTCTCTTCGAGTTAAGTGAAGCGGGTTTGAACCTCAAATGCCGCCTTGTAGTCACCTTTGATATTTTAATGTGCGAATTATTTTCAACGTCATCACGACTTGCCCTACGGTGAAAGAAAACATTGTAATGATACCTATATGCCTGAGAGAACGTAGCAAGTTTTCGAAACACGTGAAGTCCGCGAACCCCTCGCACTAAGGGGTCCGTGACCCTGACCAGCAGCAGCATGTTAAATGAGACGTTAAAAATAGGGCGTTACTTTACCCGATAATTACTTATTATCTATTTTACTATTATATATAATGCAAATGTTTACAAGCAAATTATATTATTTCAGAGAACATTGGCTTCACAGAATGCTAGTTCCGATGTCGTTGACGCGAGTGACGGCAGAGATGTACGAGGAACAAAGCTTCCTGCGCAAACGCGGCCTGCTCACTTTCCTGAGGCAAATACTCGAGCCGTTGGATGAATTCGACATAGTTCTAGAAAATTCCCTCACTCAAGGCATTTAATCCCTTTAAAACTTTTATATTTTCTAGTAGCAGATGAATTGTTCGCGCAATATTTTTGGGATCGGTTGAAAAAGAAAGAATATTTAATATAGTTTGTAAGAGGAAGAAAATACTCATAGGAATAGTTTAAATACTCTATATTACCATTCTTATGATATTTGTTTATTTTCAGAGATTATTTTTTTGTTTTTTTTTAATAGTTATTTAGTATTATTACTTGCCAGTTGATCCAAAGATTATTAAATTAAAGTGCTATGTATTTTATCGATTTTAAAATGTTTTCTAGTGAATTGGTATTCTAAGTACCTTTAAAACGCTTGCTGTTTTCCAAAATGTCTTGAATGAACGTGATAGACGGCATTGCTTACAATTCTCCATTTTTAAATTAATTAATAAATTACGCATGTTATTTTAATGTTGCACAGAAATATTTTTATCATATTACTATGATAATATTTCAAAAAAATATTGCTATAATTCAAAGCACATATGGTACAATTTTGTAAAACAGCGAGATATTTTAAATCAAGGATTTTATGTACGTGATATTTTAAAATTATTACTTTAATATCGATTAGGTTGAGTCTTTTGACAATTATTTTCAGCTACTTTTAATAACTTTCTAATACTCGTACCACTACATTGAACTGCCATTCATTAATGTTTCCGAATTTACGCTAGTTTACATATAATATAATGTAATACATAATTCTAAAACTTGCATTTTTAATATCCATGACATATAGTCTAGTGGTTATTGTAATCTGTGGTATTTATATATTATGATTTTTTTTATTTATTATGTACTATTATTATAATTAAAATGAATTTGTATGTGATTATGTATTTTAAAATTATTTCAGGAAAAAATAGCAACGTTTCTATGGTAAATAATGATATGTTCGGTGAGTTTCGCCCCTCGTGTTCAAGTGAAACTATTTTACCTGTAAAAACTTGTTAAAACTTGTTTGGTTTAAAAAAATATTCTATGAAGCAAACCATTTGAATATGTGCACATTTGTTCAATAGCTAAACTTTCTGAAATATTTTGTGTTTCTAACGGCATTTGGAATAAAATTACATTTTGAAATTATTGTATGGAATTGTAGACCCGATGTTTAATACTCGAGTTAAAATGATTGTTATTTTTATAACTGAGTCTTAGTTAACACGCTGTGAATAGAAAAAAATATATGGTATGAAGCTAAATTAAATTAAAATGATTTTATGAACTCATCAATCAATATTAAAACTAAAACTACTGATTCAATATTTTCATTAAAAAAGTTATAAGTTACAATACAATGCTCTTCCGTTTACAATGCAATATTAATGTGGTAATTAAAAATACCACATTATAGATATGTTTAATATATATTTAACTTTTTGTATTTTTTGTGATTATGAGACAATTTACAAAGATATTTTTAAGTTCATTACTCCGCTGGTAATGTACATACATCATAATTTTAAATACCAACGTTAGCAATTGGTGGCACTTATATGTACAATCACGGACATTCTACAAGATATATTTGTCTTAACCCATCTAGACACACATTTACCTATCATATTCTCCTAGTAAAGATTTTAATCACATTCGAAAACTAGAACACATTTCGAATTCTTCCATACAAATATAACCTTGACACAAGTTTTAATATCATTTGAATTGTTCCCGTTAAAAACTGTTAAAAAATCCGGTTTTCTGAGGTTTTTTTTACTCATATTGCTTAACGACAAATAATATATACTTTAACAAGCTTCCTATCTTATTATTTAAAACTTTACCAACAATTGGCTTCGAAAGAAACGCTGTGGGATTGTTTAAGTAAATTTAAAGATTAGAGTCGATCACATTATTCCCAACGTGTTTTATCTTCTATAAAATCATTTATTTTATAACTCTTGTCTTACTAAGGATTTTAGATATGCAGTGCACAAATACACTACGTAATAAATCATTAAGCGACATAGTTTTTTAGAAACAAATTATTTTCTCGGCTTCATTATAATGATGATATTAAAAATATATTTTCTTTTTCAATGATAATAATTATATCTTATTTATGGGTGCCATAGATTTGGCTTGATCGGAATCTCTAAATAGTCAATATCTGATTAATTAAAGCAAAACAAAAGTAATTTAATCTTAAAATATAGCAAATAGTATAAGTATATTTCAGTGTAGACCAAAACTTAAATATTTTTTGCTTAGTCTGCTTTGAAATAGAAATTTCTTCCGCAAGTAGCAGTATCTTATGTAACAAATTTTCAATAACTATATTATAATGTGTTTTATCTATTCAAGAAACAGTAATAACAACTTCAAAAAAAAATGTCAAATACTGATTAATTATTTTATGTCCATGAAAGATATATATTTTAAAACATGACATGGAGTTTTTTCTAAATAGATTATTGCCTGAGTATCACTAAGTATACGTTCAAGAAATTGATAATTTTAATATAATCATTGTCTATAGATTAATGATTAAACATTATATAATGTGTACATTTAATTTTACAGATTACGCTTAAAAACTCCTTGAAAATGGAAGTAGATATTTATTTTTGTGCGCACATGCAATATTACCGAATATATTAATATGTAAAAATTATTATGTAGTTAATTTTAAGGTACATATTTTTATGTGGTAAGCTTCTGTGAAAACTTTTCTTTGTAAATTAAATTTATAGTTATTGTTTACTGTGACCATGTCAATATTTTTGTATGTTATGTTTTAATTTTAAAGTATTCTTTCAATACAGTCTTTGCACAGGAAACCTCTGAAAGCACTAAATATTTTTATAGAAAATAAAATGCTATATGTAATTTGAAATAATCAAAAAGTATATCAATCACTCTTAATGTATTTTTATGATAACGTCATTTAAAAGTCAAATATTTTGTGTCCCGCATATCTCAAGAAATATTACTATTCACTATCATATATTTTTTCTCTAATTCCAATTTCAGAGTTTTTCTTTCGAAGCTGCAAAAAATTCATAGAATTTTGGAATTAGGCCATAATAAGTATGTATAATCGTTTTTCATAAGCCGTCCAGCACGGTTGTAAACGTGTGCGTTATAGGTGCCGTCTATTTGTTTGTCCCTGAAAAAGTTAATTTTGTGCCAAATTATAAAAATAATTAAATTATTTTCCTTTCATTTTTTATGCGTAATCATCGTGTATTTAAAAATATGTATTTTTATAACTTTCCTTTCAATTACCTACATTGTTACGAACGATACGGAACGGAAATTGAAGGATAATTATATTTATTGAAATAAGTACATACTTAAAAGTTAAAGAAACTATCGATGTATTGCGCGTAAAATAATAATATAACAGAACCAGCTAACAGAACTGTTAAATTTTTATCATAATATATCACTTCTGTAGAACAAAAAATATGTTAAAATACCAAATTTTTAAGCATAAACAACTTAAGAATCAAAATGTGGAAATTGAAATTTTTTTTCTTTATCTTAAAGAAGTTTTTTATAAATTTTCTTTAATTATTTAAAAGTCTTCCTTTATTAAATATTCATCTATACCAAAGAATATAATAGAAAATTTAGATAACTTACACATAATAAATGTGATAAAAAATAGTGTCTTTATTCTCTGCAACCAACCCAAAATGTCCGACTTTATTTTAAACAGTAGATACTAGCCTTAGTTGTTTTAAAAAGGTACAATTTAATAATCATTAATGTATTTTTTCATTAAACTAAGGTAAAAAAAAAATACAGTCAACTAGTATTAACATGCATACGCGAAGAAATACACATATCGCCATCTATTGAACTTTTTTTTATTAATTTTCTTTTGTTCGTGATGAGAACCCATGACAATACTTATTTGTTTTAAAACAATATTTTACATTTATGGGTTATATTTATTTTCTTTTATTCATTTTACATAAACTAAATAATAAATCTACACATAAAATTATAATCTGTACATTAAATATTTCTTGGAAAATTTTATACAGAGGCCGAATCTATAGTTTTTAGATTTTTTGTCTGTCTGTTACCGCATCACGGAAAAACCACTGGAGGGATTTTCATGAAATTTGGTATGGTGATAGCTGGTTATCCGGGTCAACATATAGGATAATTTTTGCCGCGGGAAAATATCTCATTTCTGAGAAAAAATACAAAAACTGCAATGTAAATAATATGTAAAACCTAAGAATTTGGTTTTTGGTAATCTGAACGCGTCGGAGCCGCGAGCAATGCTAGTTATTAAATATAATTCTAATTCTTTATATTAATATTCCAGTCTTATAATATAAGTCTTGTTACAATTCCAGTTTACCCACTTGCAATAACAAAAATTCTAACCTTTCTTTGTTTTTTTTTAATCTCCGTTTAAAGTTTTATCGCTTTTTTTACTTTTATTCCGCTTAAATTATTGGAAACCATGGACAGTCAATGTCTTGTGTACAACACATATGTATATGATAATTCATATTATTTAATATACTTAAAAATGCTGCCTTGTTCAGTACAAACATAAAATTTAAATAAAGAGGTCCGAGAAAATGCAAATAGCATTGTATTAAAAAGAGAGAGCAGGTCTTTATTTGTTATAATTATTCAGTGACCACTCTACCTTTATTCTATCTTCATATAAAACGATACCAATGACCATAGAACATTTTTATCATAAAATAGAATTAAACTTAGATCAATTGGTTATTTATTTTATGCTGAACTATAAGTTTAGTCAAATAAATTAAAGTTTAATATTTCAATATTTTTAATCCAAAAATAATTTTTGATAAGATAGAGGTTAAGTCAAATTTTTTTAGTCGCAGCTGTTATTTCCATATTTTATTTCAAGTTGGGTTATTTATTTACCAAAATTTATATATTATATGATTCATTAAATAATAAAATATTATTTTTTTATAAAATATAGATAAAAATCTTAAAATGTCACAAAATCATGTTATAGATGGCGCTAGGCGCCGCTTGTTGTGCGGTCGTTCGTTCGACATTCGACAAGTAAGATGGCGGCGATTAATGTGAAAGGCGAAACGTTGTCGTATATCCACTTGTAAATAAAGTAATTGCTTCCTTGAAACAATATTATCATTCAAAAAAGAAAGAAAGAATTGATACAAAGTGTATATTATACAGTGATCGGTTGTGTATGATACAAGATATATAATAAGTGGTCGTTAATTTCACAATAGACAAAACCCGTCGCAACCAGCACTCGAAGAGTCGAGGCCATATTTATGATGTTATCTGTCGTGTGAGCGTCCTCTGAAATCACATTGATAAATGGTTATTCCAAATTAATGCAATGGTAGGTATGTTCTTTTTCTAAAATGCATTGTAGAAAAGATTCAACTATAACTTTCTGTATTGTTCAAACACATTGACGCTACCGTGTCGGAGCGGCGCATTATTTTTATTGTAGTATATGTTTTTACTAAAACGAATTCTGCTTTTAAATTTTTGTCAATTATCCTACAATTAGTATATTATGAGTATAAATATATAAATTACAAATATCTAATAAAGAATTAGCCTCCAATAAGACTTATTCAGGAAATAATGATAAAGATAAATGCTTATTTTCTTTTTGTTTTCAGGAGTACTATCTGGATTTCATGAAGAGTTATTAAGTTATTCAGAATGACTACAAGTGCCCCAATTTAGTGGTAGTAAATATATATCTTATGTGTATAACAAACTATGGATGAAAGTGTGGACTTCTATTGACAACTTACATAAATTAACACAAAAATTGCAACACGGAGGTGGTAATGGATCCAGTAGGACCATGGTCAGCATATGCTTCGTACAATCGGCTAGCAGGGGTACAAGCTGGTGCTGCAAGTGGAGATTTTCATCACCATCTAACAAGTGGCGGTACTGGGCTAGGCAGTCAGTCTGTGCCTTCAACAACAAGCCAATTACTCCTTCAAGCAGCTCACACTACAGCATCATTAGCAGGCCAATTAGGATCTTCAACAGCTTCTCCCTTTAACCCTGGTGGATTTCTATCTCCACCTGCAGTGGGATATGATGCAGTATTTTCACCTTTATTTCATCATGCAAACCCAAAACCCGCACATTATAGTTCATCACTTCAAGCACAACATCGTCAAGTGATAGCACAAGCTCAAGCGGCTGTTGCATCTAAACAATCTTCAGTGGAAACAGAAATATCTTCTCTAAGAGAAAACTACTCACATCAAACGCTAGCTGCACAAGGATCATCATTTTTTGATCAACCTTCAACCCCTGGTAGTACGAGTGGTTTAAGTTGGCAAGGAAATAGTCAACTTCCCAGTCCATTTGGAATTCTACCTCATGAAAGTGTTGTGCCGTCATCTCCAAGTCCTGCCACAACAAAAGCATCAGCAACATATGAAAATTTTAATGCTCACTTTGCTGCTGCGCAAACTATTAACAATCATCTCAATTCTCAAATTTCAAGTACTAGTAAGCAAACAAATAGGTCAGGATCACCTGCAACTGCAACGAAACAACCTGCCTCTTCAACATCTTCATCAACTTTTTTTCAATCTCCTTCAAATTTTGGAAATCAGACTGATAATTCATACAGTACAAGTGGTTCAAAAAGTGGTCAACTCTCAACACAGCAGGATTATGCTGGAAGTAAGTCATATTCAAGTTCTGCAAGTAACACTGCTCACTCTCAGCAATCGTGTATTGTGTCAACTCCATCAGTGACTTCCTCTTCCACTCCCCCTAGCAAAGATTACCGTTCATCCTCAACCTCTTCCACACGACCTTCTGCTTCAATATATAATTCTCAATCACCTAAAAGTACTAGTAGTGAAAAAACATCTCTCACTTCCACTGTTAACAGTAGTGGGTTTGTTTCACCCACATCTAAGCCTCCTTTAATACAAACAAAAGCACAAAGTAAGATTTATCCAGATTTAGCCAGTGAACAAAGAAAAAGCTGTGAATCGAGTGATAAACTTCAACCTCAATCTTCTCCTATAAGTTACTCTATTATGGATGCCCCAGGTAGACTAAGCTATAATGGCAGTAGTAGCAATTCTAAATCTAGTAGACTCGGTAATTCCCAATATTCATCATCTCAGCCTTCAAGTTTTAGGCATTATCAAAGTGGTAATAATGTGGAATCTGAATATCATGTCCGAGCAAAGAGTAGTTCTAGTACAGATACAGGCTATTCTAGCAGTAGTTCTCAAAATGGCCCAGATTGCAGTGTTGTTGTATCTAGAAGGCAAAGTCCTCTACAAACAGCGCCCCAAACTTCTCCATTAGGACATGGTTCTAGTCCGGCATATCCAATGTATCATAGTCCCATGAATTCTATAAACTCTCCACAGCAACATGGAGATCATTATAGTAAAGTAAATAATGCCGCTCCAAGGTCACCATTAGATGCATCTATTTCACGACCGCCATCACAGAATAGTCAAGTGGCCTATCCCTCAGTTATAACCAGAGCATTAGGTATTGAACAAAGTAAATCTTATAGTGAGAATAGATATGAACGTAATCAAAATTCAAATCAAAGTTGTTGGGAAAATGAAAGACAAAATAGCAGAAAATATAGCAGTAATGGTAATAGTAATAGTAACAATTCTAGTAATAATTATAATAATGGTTTAACAGAAAGCAATACTCACAGTGAAAAGTCTACGTCACAATCTCAAAATTCTACTGATAGGACTTTAAGTTTGTCTGACAAACATCAACATAATTATATTGATGGCAATAATGTAGCTTTACAAGATCTTTCTAGTTGTCGTGGTGACCCCATGAGTATTGTGAAAAATTTGCAAACATTACAGCAGAGCTGTCAATTACAGGAAGTTAAAACTTCTAAAAGCCAATCTACAGTATCAGCTGTACCTGCTACAACTAAGTCTATATCGAGGCGAAAAAGTACAGAGAAAGCTCCCCACACTAATATGAATGAAATTTCCAACGCCGTTATGGCCGACTATTTGGCAAATAGAATCCCTCCCCCAGCTCATAGCTCAACAAGTAATCAACAACAGAATGGTTATTTTGATTTCGAAAGGTGGAATCTACCACCACCACCCCCAAAAATGTTTCCAGGCACATCTGCCTTCGGTTCTCAAGCATCCTTACACGCTACAAATTTCGCTAACCAACATCAAGCCTTAGCGATGCAACATGGACATGCACTAACTTATTTCCCCCCGTTCCATCTAGGTCCTCATCCCGATTTCCAATCTTCTGTGGAGTTAACACCGTTGTCTTCGTTTAGCGAGACACCACCTTCGGCTTCCTCGTCATCATTTTCCACCCCAGAAACTCGTGAAGAGGAACAGCCTAAGGTGGTAGTACCTAATATAGAAGAAGAACTTGGTTTCCTTGCAGAACAACGAGCTAATACTGCATCGACGGTAGCACCCTCTTCTCAGCAGCAGAACATAAACAGCACTTCACAAGACGCTACTTCAAAAATAATGGACAAAAAGTTCAACGTTCCGGTCACGGGCCCAGGTTCGGGCTTCATGGCTTCTTATTTAAAATTTTTACAAGGGGAGCGCGATACATCTCCTCCGCCGGCCGGCAGGGGCGCCAGAAAGTCCACGTGGTCGAGGACCAACACGAACAATGCCGTGAACAATAAGGCGTACACTCCTAACGAGCACACTAAGAGTTGTGAGGCGAACTCGAGCCAGCAGAGCGCAAACGGCGCGATGTCGGCCGCCAACGCGCTGAGTGCGGGCATGTCGCTGAGCTCGGGCCTGCTGGAGGACGCGCGCTACTACGGGCTGGGCAAGGAGCGCAAGCGCAAGTACGACGGGTCGGAGGAGTCGTACGGCGCGGAGGCGGAGGAGGAGCGGCGGCTGAGCAAGCCCGTGCTGAACGTGCCCAGCACGCCGCTGGGCGCGGACAAGGGCAAGAAGCGCGCGCCGAGCAAGCCCCCGGCCGCGCCGCCCGCGCCCGCGCTGCCCGCGCCCGCGCCCGGCCGCCGCCGCGCCCAAGAAGCCGCGCGCGCCGCCGCCCGCGCCCGCGCCGCCGCCCCCGCAGCAGCAGTACTATTACCAGCACCAGCCCGAAGAAGGTGCGTTCAATTTACTAGATTTCCACTTGAGAAGTAGAGCGCGATGGTGAAGAGCTAGCCCTGAAGCTTGTATGACAGGAGCGAGCCGACCCCAGAGGCGGTAGTGAAAACTTGTTACATTTTAACTGTGATATGTAAATTTTTATTAGATGAAATCTATTATTACCCGCTGTAAATAATTTCTATGATGAAAATGTGATGTACCTAACATAGGTCGATATTTTAGGGTTAGTCTGTAACAAGATTTCACCGACTTTATTTGTTGATGACACATTATTAGTGCCATGTTATTGTAAATTGTAGATTTGTGACTCTTGTCATACTCGCTATTGAAGGGGTGCTACCATTAATAATTCCAAAATTGTGGTATATTTTTTTATGGGATCGATACCAGTGGTGTCCGTTGTACATACCTAATGATGTATTGTATTTACAGTATTGAATTTAGTTGGTACTTATGATAGTGTATTCATATATTTTGATGTTAGCCGAAAGTGATTTTATATTATAAGGAGATGATGAATTGCATAATACATTGACAGCTATAAGTTAGTGCGAGTAATGTATTAGGAGGCCATGCCCTGAACATAAGTTTTTGTATTTCTATTTAATTGTTATTTGTTTATGCACAATTCTCAATATTTTATGTAAATACTTTTGTATAATAGGAGAAAACATAAAATAAACGCGAGTATATTACTGATATGTGTTAAATAATTTTAGTTTGTAATTACTCCTGGTAGCACCCCTCACTTCGCCATATAGTAACATGTTCATTTTATATGCTCATATTGTAATCTGATTGTATTGCAGCCAACATTAAGTGTAATGTTTATATTTTTAATCAAATCAATTTTAATGTACATGTTATCATGATGGTGAAAACCATTGGCTATCCCTTTTCCTGACCGTCCTTACCTCTTATTTTTTACTCCGAAGCAAAAAAAAAAATATATTATAATACTACGTAATAGTCGGTGACTGATGAACAAAAAGGTAATACGAACTGTTTTTCGATTTGTTTATTTATTTTAATGAGTGGTTATGAATAACGTTTAAACTTTTAGTTGCGGCGTTATCGAATGCTTTGGCGTATGGACCCCCCTATGGTACAGCCGAGGACGCCAACTCGAACAGGAAACTACATCACATTAAATCGCACCAACAGTTGTCGAACACAGGACATATAGATAACAATAGACCTCAGATCGAAGAGATGCCCTACCAGGTATTTATTGCTTCATACACTTTAAATATTTTTTTTATTATATTCTAAATGATATATTGCAAGAATATAACTACTTAAATTACCATATTATTACTATTGGCAATAATGTATTCACATTTTTAATGAACTTCATGACGTAAGAAAATTACTTTGGTAGAGATTTTCAAATAAATTATTATATTTTAATAAGGATAATGTTAATTATCATCATGTACCTAAGTATGTACTAGACATTGAATGTTTTTTACTGTACTAAATTATGTAAAATTACCATATAAATTCGGTCAATGACGTGATCATTGTAATCTTATTTAAATGTAAATTATGTTTACTTTAAAGTCGGGCGAATTCGTTGCGATAAAAAGTGAATTGAGCGAGATGTGGCCGGCGATATGGAGAGTTGATGGAAAAACATTACTACAAAAATATGAACCATTCGAGGAAAACGGAAAAGTACTATATCGAAATATTTCCACGGTAAGAAAATGGTTTTATTAAAGAGTAAAGCAATAAGTACGATATCAATCATAATCACTATAAATGAAGTGCACATGTGTATTAATTACAAATTTGATTACTAAGTGATTACATATTTATAAATGCATGTATCTATCTACCTAATGAAGGTAATGGTATAAATTAAAAATCTTGATAATAAATTACCTATAATTATGATTGATAAAAAATTAATTACCTGACGCTGAGCTTCTAATTGTTTTATATATTTATTTAAATAAAATTGTAATCGAAGAAACAGTTAGATGTTTTTGTGATTGCTAACGCGTGCGTCACTTGAAAATAACAAGGCAGATTTTAATGCAATTTAAAGGGAAAAATTACATGGCCTATGCTCTTTTACCTTGACTGTTATGAAATTTAATTTTACCCGCATACGATGTAAGAGGCGAAAGCGTTTACGTATATGACGTTAACATTATTGTATTTTTTTTAATTTTTTTTTTTGTTTTTTTTTTTTATTTCTCCGCGAACTTATGACAAGTAATTTAAAAAATAATTATGTTGCTAATTATATTTTCAGTATGCAGCATGGAACCCTCAAAATAAGAAACTTTACAGCCAAGTACAAGTTAAAGTCCGATCGCAATCACATTTAGAAACAATAGTAGAATTAGTAAGAAGTGAATTGCCTCTCGACGACTGTAGTTTTATGGAGAAGAGAATGCTAGAAACGCAAATGTACCAAGAAAATTTCGAAGTTTATATACAGACATTAATATCACATGCCTTGGATCCCAATTTCTTAACTGAAATATTTCAAGAGCAAGGTAAAGGTTTTTGTTGTATGTCCAAGATTAGTTTTATAATCATTTTAATAGTAAACGAAAGCTATTGGATCTATTTTTCTATTAGTTTTAAATGATTATTGTGCCTTGTGTCTGTTTGTATGGAATATCAAATATAATAGCAACTAAATTCAAAATAGTGTAATAAAACCTACCAGAAATAAGGGATACTATACTGCACAATTTTTCAAGTCAACTAAAATAAATAGACATATTCCCTTTTAAAACACTTTATACCATTATGTTAAATTTTCTTTTCGTCAGATAAACCGCTTTTTGGTAGAAGTACAACTATAAACATATTTATTAGTAATGGTAAACCCGTTTTTCACCCACAAATCCGCCTATTTATGTGACATTAAGTATGCTTTGTTCATAGCTTAAATATAAATAACTTGTTATTGCTTTACGTTGTACCTAAACGGAATGTTGTCAACACAAACACATTATATGTGAAATTGATAATATTTATCCAAACTAATATTATAAATGAAAACTGGTAACTGGTAACTGTTTGTTTGTTACGTTAATGGATATACCACTGAACCAATTTTGATAAATTTTGGTGTAGAGATAGATGGGTTTTTCAAAACGGACATAAGCTACTTTTTGTCCCTAGAATAAAACTTGTAAGAAATAGGGGTTGAAAGTTTGTATGACGAACCAACTACCAAAAGTGCATTCACGATAACTATTTTTTTTATCTATTTAAAACGTAGGTACTTAATCCCTCAACGACCGCCGACACGTCGGCGTTACAGTTAACAATAGATTTCTTAGAAAATTAATCATTTCATTTCTTAGAAATTTATCTGAAGGTGTTATATATTTTTTGGAAAATCTTATTGAAATATTCATTATTATCGATACAGAGGCCGAATATATAGTTTTTAGAGTTTTTGTCTGTCTGTCTGTTTGTGACTGCATCACAAGAAAACCACTGGACAGATTTTAATGATATTTGGTATGATAATACCTAGTTATTCGGGGCAACATATAGGATAGTTTTTACAGCGGGAAAATATCTCTGAGAAATCTATACTAATCGTTAAAACGTGTCTAAGGATGAACCCGAGCGGGGTGAGGGTGAGTCGTTAGTTGATTATGAATGCAGAGGTAACTGTCTGTCTGTTACCTTTTCATACTTAATCCGCTCAACCGATTTAGATGTAATTTGATATGGAGATAGTTTGAGACCCCGGGAAGGACATAGGATAGTTTTTATATAGTCGGCTCGTCTCTATGAGATCGGCCGCCGTGGCCGGAATCGGTCAGGAGAACATCATCGACATCATAATAAACCTACGAAACTCATCATACCTATGTATACATAGTCTATCTATCTAGTCCATACTAAGCGTCAGAACGTAACGTAACGGTCGCAGACGACTACTTCCTGTCCAACGTGAAGACGGTGGACGAGGTGACGGAGGCGATGCGCGCGCGCGTGGCGGGCGCGGGCGCGGCGCGCGCGCTGGACGCGGCGGCGGCGGCGTGGCCCGGCCTGGGCGTGGCGGCCGGCGCCGGCGCCTGCCGCGCCTGCGCGCGCCCCGCCGCCGCGCGCCTGCTGCTCTACGGGCAGCCCTACAACCCCGCCACGCTCGAGCCCGTGCAGCCCGACGCCCGGCTGGCGTATGAAAAGGTATTGCATTACTTATAATGTATCCATTCGTTCATTACGTAAGGATGATTTTGGCTTTAGGGTTGACGTGCATAGGTAATAATAGGTAATAATCGACGAGATAGCACTACAATGCTTTAACTTCGAAACCGTTGGCCATGAAAATAAGTATTTTATCAACGCTTGCGTTAGATAGCATTTCCTTTAAAATCACTAAATTATAAAACACTTTTATATATGTTATAAGCTCGAAACTAACTCTAATCTATCTAATTTATAAAAGATGTACTTGAAAAAGTTTACAACAATATATACAGTAAATATAAACTAATACGACATCATGCTTTCTCCGCATGCTTATATTAGTCGTACACAACATATGTGTACCGGTGTTACACAAAAGAAAATTTACAAGTTAATTAACAAATAAGTAATCCCTACTAATATATATTCAATCCCTAAAACAAACGTCTGTCTGTTTTTCCTAGGAATTCCTTGTGTGTAGTACGTGTTGTGGTCGGGTGCAGTTATTTTCAAGAATATCACATCAAAAATACCTCATGTATGCGGAATGTAGTAAAAGAGTAGCAGAGAAGAGAATGCAAAACCCCAGTAAAGACACGACAGTGATCCTCAACGAATTGCTCGCGGATGAAGTGTGGCTGTCTCAGGTGAGACTGTATTATTTAATAATAAGTGTTATTCTGTAGAAACAATAGCATTCCCAAGGAGGGTTGACGTCAGGCAGGCGGCCGGTCGTAAAACTTTTGCCAAATCCTATCAGCAGTACAGAAAATGTACTGCGCCGACCCCAAGTGATTGGAATATTGGCAGGGAGGAGAAAAAGTGTTATTCTGTAAAACCAATTTACACAAACAACTTGTTATAACTATGCGTCCTTGTAACTTTTTTGAACACTTGAATTGTTTGATATCTATATATATAAAAGAAAGTCGTGTTAGTTACTTCGCTTATAACTCAAGAACGGCTGAACCGATTTAGCTGAAAATTGGCAGGGAGGTAGTTTAGAGCCAGGAGAAGGACATAGGATACTTTTTATCCCGTTCGACCGCGTTCCAATTTTTATGATATTTTAATTTTTGGATTTCTCTTAGTCCGGAATAGGTAAGTATTAAAACATATAATTAAAATGTGAGAAAGAAAGATTTTTTCTTTTTATATCTATTTAAAACGTACCTAGCGACGAACCCGAGCGAAGCGAGGGTGAGCCGCTAGTTTTAAATAAAACTATCTTCTGCTATTGTCTCGCGTATTTATTTCGATTTATTTAGATTTTTGGTTCCTGACGTTTTGAATGCTACGAAGCAGCGTCTCAAAGGCCATCATAATTTAATTGTTACAGACACAACACACAACATGATTTCAAAAAAATACAAAAAATGGTACCAAAGTACTTTACAATGTTTTTTAAATTTGAATTTTAAATAGTTCCCGAAACTTCGGGAACTAAAATTCATAATAAATCCGCGAAACAATCCGAAATGATAGTTTTATTCGCGTAAATCTAAGTAGTCAGATATAAAATATATATTAATACAAATACTAGCGACTCACCCTCGCTCCGCTCGAGTTTGTTCGGTGGCCTACTCTTATCACTTACGTGTATGAAAAATAGTTTAAGTCCTAAAAATTAGTTTGACGACACGTTTGGCTCAGTTTATGGTGACCCTACTTGCTGTGCCAACGGTCACGGGTTCGAGTCCCGTTGGCGGCATTCTTGTGATGAGCACGTTATAATATGTATGTATTTAAAGTTTTATATGTGTAGTGGTGTATCAACTATGTGGTATCCATAACGAGCCTCGTAGCTTACCATGGATTGTGATAGATGGTGCTGTGTTAATATCCCAACATATTTATTATTTTTATTTATTCTCAGACCTACTGAATATACACAAAAAATTTCATAAGAATCGGTCGAGCCGTTTCGGAGTTTTGTTACAAACACTGTGACACGAGAATTTTATATATTAATACTTTTATATAATAATAAAATGAACATCGATGTTTCCAGTTGTTCCGCGACGTACGACAGTCTTGGGCGGAGGCGGAGTCGTGGGAGCGCAAGATGCGGCACGCGATGACTCGCCAAATGATTTAACGTTGGTAATGACCAAAAGTGTACAAACACGGACTATGTTTACATTTTATACCTGTGAAATATGTGCTGTATGTATGTAATTTTTTTTTATGTTTTTATTACACAATGTTAAATTTAAGCATTTAACAATTTTTTTATTCTCGTTCGTCAGCCAGCCCAATGTATTTATTTACTATAATTTTAAATTGTCATTTAGTTTTATTTGGGGCGGCCTCATACGTCGTGATAGGTTAATGTAGATCCAACCAAATGTATATCTGAGGTTATAGACTACCAGGGCTGCCAGTAGAGAACTGTTGCGAGTAGAGCCAACTTATATTATACCGCCGGGTCACTCAAATTATACCAAATCAAATTTTATTATACAAATTAACAAAACTGTTGAGAAGAAATATAATATAAAAAAAGAAATAATCTGTGAAGAATAAAAAAAATTAATAAAAATATGTAATAACTTAAAATAACCTTTACAATTTTCGTATCCAATTAATTATACGATCTGGCAGCCCTGTAAGACTACACTCCAAATGACAACTGTTTTATGTTATGAAATTGAAGCCTATATGGGTGCATTGGGACGAGCGCGGACGGGGCTAAATAATTTGTAACGAACGATCATCACACAGTAGTTTATTATTATTATTGTATTAGTTGTCTTTTAAAATTCACAATAATCGTCGAATTTCTTTTGGCTGTTACTTAGTATCAGTTGTTTATTGTTAGGACTGGTGCCATTTTTGCTTATCGATAATGCAAAAATATATACCAATGTAGTGCCGTCGGGTTTCTGTATGGTTTGTGATTTTCTCGTTTATTTTATATTTTATATTATTTTTTATGTATGAACGGGGGTTTTGGACAGCACAGTTTGTTAATATAATTCAAGATAAGTCTTATCGCTGTACACTGCAGACTAGCCCAATAGTACTCATTTTTTTTATAACTCGATTATAATGTAATTGCATAACAGAAATATATTAATAAATTGTGAAATAAGTATAAATTATGAAAATGTGAGAAATGATGACATAAGACGTCCAAAGGCCGGGAGTTTCGTGTTTATTAACGAGGCCTTTGTAAAATACGTATTTCGAAATACATATGTAAAGTAACAATATTATTAGAATATCCCGTAAGTATTTTTCTGTACATAAATTAGATAAATTGTCATAACGTGCAATGCCGATCGGGAACAAACATTTTTTTTTTTTACTTATCATTAAAAAAACTGCCCTAATATTTTTGTGAATTATAATTATTACATTTATACAATTGAATTATATAATTTGATTGCTTTCATATTAAATTTTTATTTGTTAATTACAATCCAGCCAGTCATTTCTACTTTGAATTACATATTTTGCATATTAAAGAGTATATTATTTCTTACGACCGACCTATCTTGTACAAAGTATAATTGTACATAAAAGTCACGATATGATACGTACCTACTTTATAAATCAAAATAGGCAACTAAAATATATACCACATTCCTAAAGCGGCCTTTGAATGTTTCAAAAATATTGATTGAAAGTGATCTTTAGTTTTAAGTTTTCAATGCCCTAATTTATAAATGAACAAAATGGCGATATTATATTTCTATTTTTTAAAATAAGTACACTACTAGAGGATATTTTGTATAATTGCATTGGGTTGTGTAGGTTTACGCCGCAAATACGTAGTTAATACGCATCCATAGATTAGAAATGTAAAAATAACAGGTTCTGTTGAATGAAATAATAAAATGAGTATTTATTTTGTTCTATATAAGCAGAACTGGAGACTTGTTTTAGAATTTTCTTATAACATCATAATAAATGGCAATTTTATCAAATATTTCTTTTTATTTACTTCGTAACCTTTAGCTAGAAATGAAATTTATAATACTTTTAAATTACACAGGAAACCTTTTACTGATTTTTTTATTAAACAATAAAAAAAACTTTAACAAAAAAATAAAAACCGACTTCAAAAAAAAGCACTAAAAAGTAAAAAATAACTGATTGGTGGTTTTCATTTACTATACATACCTAATCAAATATTTTCGAAGTCGGTGTGCTTTGCTTTGTATGGGCTGGCACCGATTTCGAAAATATTTGATTAGGTATGTATTTAATAGGTAGGCTTTAATTACTTAGCCAAAGCACACCGACTTCGAAAATATTTGATTAGGTATGTATAGTAAATGAAAACCACCAATCAGTTATTTTTTACTTTTTAGTGCTTTTTTTTGAAGTCGGTTTTTATTTTTTTGTTAAAAAGTTTTTATTTTTCCCTTTTTAGTGTAGACAGTAGTAGCAAAGTAAGGATTCTAATGTGTTAGGCTTGTCAAATCAAACAAAATAAGCCCAAACTCAAAGTATCTACTATTAGCCGTTGAAGAGTTCCACCTATCCACCTTCTGGCCTTGCCATCAGATCAGGTCAACAACACCGAATCACTGTACTATCAACGGAAATAGAAATACTTGCAAAGTTTCAAGTCAATGTGACAATTATAAGTAGGTTAAATTCATCATTAGTTGTTTTTCCACCCTTAGGGGTGGTATTTTTTTTGAAATTTAAATGGGACCAATCTGGAAGTATACCCTTTCAAACAAAACAAAAATTGTCCAAATCGGTTAATAAATGACGGAGTTCTGAGGTAACAAACATAAAAAAAAAAAAAAAAAAAAAAAAAAAAAAAACATACAGTCGAATTGAGAACCTCCTCCTTTTTGAAGTCGGTTGAAAATTAGGATTTACGAGTGGTTTCATTTGTTTTGTTTATTTGGGAGATTTTTAAGACCATAATATACCTTTTTGAAACATATCTATTTTTTATCTTTTGTTAACCGACTTAGGAGGGGGTTCTTAATTTGTCGGTTTTTGTTAATTTCACCTAAGTTTCATTTATTTAAACTAGTTTTTCTTTGTTGCTGAGGAAACTGATAAACATTCAGACAGCGCCATCTTTTGGCAAAATTAATACTAACTAGCCCATGAGGTACTCCAGGGTCATTTATTAATTCGGTATTAGAGTTCAAACTAATAAAATGGTAAAAAAAATAATTTTAGAAAAGGTAATTGGAAATACTTTAAGAAGTTAGACCCAATAAATAAATAAAACCCCAAACTTTGTGCTTGAATATACTTAATAGCGAGAGTCATATTTTCTGTGTTGTATGTACCAATTGTAGCCATTTGTCTAAAATTTCCATACTTGTCCATTCCCGCGTTTGGAGGTTCTCTTTATTTTACTATATAAATAGATTGGAAAATTAGTATTATATCACGTTTTTTTTTCATTTCTCTTGGGTTACACATTATAGGATATTTATAGAATTATTTACTGGTTGAAAGGGTTAACACTTTTGAGAAAATAATTTATTAAAAGGGGGTTTTTGTTAAAACACTACAAAAAACCAGGTTACCAATTACTCTTAAAGGGTAACCAAATGAGTCCTTGACCTATGTGCTAAATTTCATCCTAATCCGTCCAACCGTTTCAGCTTGAAATCTGAAATAGTAACAAACATACACACGCTCACAAAGTAATGCCAAATAGATTGAAGAAGATTGGTTTTATTTTTCATTTTCTCTTATTATCTGCCCTCCCGAACCTAAAGTGCAGTAACAGCAAAAACACGAATTAGAGAAAAACGCGCCTAAAGTTTAGAATCCATAAAAATATATCAAAAAGAGACTTCGATAAAACCTTGAATGGAAAGTGAAAGGATATGTACCAAACTAAAATACTAAACATTGTTACGTTAGTTTTTTTATAAAAAACTATAATTATGGCAATTTTAATTTTTTAGCCCCTATTACTACACACACTTTATTTGTATAATATTTTCAAAAACTGTTTTAAATGCAGTAAATCCTGTTATTACTGCATTTTAGACATTTCTTCCATGATTGTTACTAACTAAAGTGCAGTAATATTATGAAAATACTGCTATTTAATCTGTTTTTTTGAACAAAACACTGATATTCCACACTTATAGTAATATAAAATTACCTTTAATTTTGATAAAAATATGTAATTTCTTAAACAAAACTGGACATGCATTTATGACTATGCTTTTAAAACTATTCATCAAAACATTGTACATTATAATCTAATAGTGTAAATTGTTTTATATGACTAACAATATAACAATCTTTACAAGATGTTGATAATCTTAACTAGTTAATCCACCATAAAACTATATCACATGTATTTCTCATGCATGGATCAATAAAATGTACATAAAATCTTTCTTCTGAACATAACTAATTACTAAATGAGTATTCTTGTCTTACAAAAATAATAGTCTGAAAAGATTATGGAAGGGAGAACTAAGGAGAATTAACTTATATGGGAAACAAGTTGAAAAAGTGTCCAGTAGTGAGCAGCAAATTATAGCTCAGAAACTCACCGTTACAGCACTAGCATAGCAAGTAGATATGACGTGAAGTTAGTAGTTTTTAACAGAGTGAAGTGTGCTGAATTATTATTACTGGTAAATAATATATAATTATATTGCTGTTTGCCTATGTTAGAACTATTTTGAAAAGTGCGCCACAGCAAAGCGGAAATCTTTCTTTCCTTATTTAATTCACCTTCTTACTTTTATGACGCTATGTTTTAAACTAGCGACTCACCCTCGCCTCACTCGGGTTCGTCCCTGGATACTTTTTTTTTGAGCGGAACTCTAATTCTTTTTTTAAAATAAAAGTAGCCTATATTACTCCCTATAACATCAGTTACCTTCCACTGAAAGTCCGTCACAATCAGTCCAGCCGTTTCAGAGATTATTCGGAACAAACAGACAGACAAAAATTTTTAAAAATTAGTTTTTCTTATAAGTACCGTATATAATTTCATATGCATTTAGTAAAAAGGTTTATTTTGACATTACAAACAGACACTACAATTTTATTTATATGTATAGATGTATAGATTCATATACTTGTTTTCTGTGGCGCCACCAATTTAATGCTTGTCAGCTGTCACTTTTTATACGAGAAATAGTTCTCCTTAGTTCTACCCTCCATATCTCTTTGGTACAGACACAGCATGGCATGTCAAGTCAGCCTTAAGCCACAGATTAAGGAGACTGCCTCAAACCGCGATATTGCCTGTCCTGTGTTTTAATATTTTAATAATTTTACCTATTAAAACGCAGTATTAGGGAATAGTATTTGACTTTAAGTATTTTAGGTAGTATGAATTGGATGGAGCAAACTAACTAATATGCAGTAAAATTTATAAATATTGTAAACTAAATGGTCTTTTACAAGCAACTACAAAACATCCTACAAGTTAAACTGTAGTAAAGTTATTAAATACTGCATGTCTTTTAGTTTTTCACAAGAAATTACAAAATCCCCCACAAGTTAATGTGCAGTATGGAATGTTAATACTGCACTTTAATTAGGAATATAAATAAAAAATATTTTTTCTTAACCTTTGCAGTATAATCAATTTGTATAGAGTCGAATAATACTGCATTTTAATAAGGTTTTTCTTGAATCTCCTAAAACAAACTACTATTTTAAGTGCCACAAAATATGATAAAACATTGCAGTTTAGTTAGGAAACAGAGAAAAATCTTGTGCAGTATTAATTGTACTGCGGTTTAGCTGGTAAACATGGAATATTTTAACAGATTTGTGATATTTTTGCTGTTACACCTTCCGAAAAAACATTAAAATAAAATACTGTTATTTGCGCTACAGAAAAAAGAATTAATTTGACTGATAGCTACTAAAATGGGGATTTAGAATATATATTTAACTCAAAACCGACCAAAATGTCTATTACTGCACTTTAGGCTCAGATGGGCAGTTATAACTACATGACGAATTATTAGTAAAGGTTTAAAAAATACAAAAAAACATAGTACCTAGTTTAAATAGTCATCTAAACAATCTATTTATTAAAATAAAGCAGTAAGTTAGTCAAATCTGTACATCATGTATTTTTTTAAAACAATGATTACATATTATGTACACAATATAGAACCCAAAACAATAGTTATTAAAATATATGCCTAACGCTGGCTAAACCTTAAGAAATACATCCAAACAATCTATACATATAATAAAATTGTAACTAAGCCGAATCTGTACATTCAACATTTTTTGGAAAATCTTATTGAAATAAACATTATTGTCGATACAGAGACCGAATCTATAGTTTTTAGAATTTTTGTCTGTCTGTCAATTACCGCTTCACAGAAAAACCACTAGAGGGATTTTGATGAAATTTGGTATGGTGATAGCTGGTTATAACTTTTTATCCGCGGGAAAATGTCTCATTTCTGAGAAACAATACAAAAACTGCAATGTAAAAGTATACTAATATGTAAAACCAAAGAATTTGGTGTTTGATCATCTGAACGCGGGCCGCGGGCAATGCTAGCGTACTATAAAATTATAGGTCTTAAAGAGGCCTACAGAAAAGTCCACAAAAGTATATGTATATCTCCGACTCCTGAGGTACACTCGCAATAACTATATTATATACTAGCGACTCACCCTCGCTCCGCTTGGGTTCGTCTCTAATGAAAATTTAGGTTTGTATGTATTTTTTAATGCCGAATCATAAAAAAAAATTATAAAAAACTAGTCCAAAAATAAAAAAGTTTTTTTTGGGGTGGACCCTTATCACTTAGGGGTATGAAAAATAGTTTACGTCCTAATATCAGACCTACTGAATACACACACAAAATTTCAGAATCGGGCAAGTTTCGGAGGAGTTTTGTTACAAACACTGACACGAGAATTTTATATATTAGATTATATATATTTATACTAATATATTTTATATATATTTATACTAATATCAAATGCAAAATTAACTGTCTGTCTGTCCGTCACCTCTTCACGATTAAAACGCTGAACCGAATAAGATGAAATTTGGTATGGAAATAGTTTGAAATCCTAGGAGTCATTCCTAGGATAGGAATTTTCATCCCGGAAAACATATCTTAAATGAATAAGTAATCAATCATTTCTCAAGTAAGGGATATATATTTTTTTATTTTTTATAATACTTACCTACTTTTCTATATCTATGTATGTACATTGTCCATATATATGTATATATTAAATATTTTATGGAAAATCTTATTCAAATAGTCATTAATTATTATCGATACAGAGGCCAAAACTATAATTTTTAGAATTTTTGTTTGTGTCTGTCTGGGAACGCATCACGAGAAAATTACTGAACAGATTTTAATGAAATTTGGTATGGTGATCGCTCATTATCCGGATCAACATCCAGGATCCTTTTTAGATACTGCGAGAAAATATCTGATATCTGAGAAATGTATAGATATTAAACGTTAAAACTTACCTAGATACGAACCCGAGCGAAGCGAGAGTTAGTCGCTGTATAACATAAAACCAAAGAGTTTTTTTATAGATTGAACGCAGGCGTTGCCACGGGTTCTGTTAATCTATTCTACAATATTATAAAGAGGTAAAGTTTGTGACGTTGTAGAGGGTAATCTCTGGATCTACTGACTCGATTTAGATGAAATTTGATAAGATAGTTTGAGACCCTGGGAAGGACATACGATACTTTTTATCCCGGAAATCATCCCTTAAGGGGGTGAAAATGGGGATGAAAGTTTGTATGGGGAATCAAGCTAGGGACGAACCCGAACGAAGCCAGGGTGAGTCGCTAATACTTAATATAAGGGTTAGGAACATGATAACGTGTCGATGTACCTACATATTTACCAAACATTGTTTTCAGTTATTTATAACCGTTTATGCAGTGATACAACTCATTGATACTGCTTCTACTCGTATAAGTGCTAGAGCAATTTAAATACTCTAAAACGTTTCTGTAGAATAATGTCCTCCTAATCGACTTCGCCTTTCGGCTACAACGGTCAATCAGTGAAATATATATTCACAAAGTCAACTGTACAAGAGATATTATAGTGCACAAGTATACGCGCAAATACTCGTACAAGTGCGCTCTATACATTATTGACCTTTTATTGTCGTACTCCGGTGAGCCGTGGGACGTCATTTCAACGAAAACAGGCGAGTTCAGGCGCAGGAACGACGGCTTTGTACGTTGCGTTACGAAGTAAAACTTCGGGCTATTACTGTGAATTTCTTGACAATAACTAAAGTTGGCCCCACCCGGACATGAACCCTGAACTAAATCACCAAAGAAGTTTTCGGCAGAATATGTGTCGTATCAACAACATTAACCGCACCCAAATTCGTTCCATAGCTCGCGATTAGTTTTAGTGCGAACATTCGTTTACACAAACGCCTACCGGCGACTTCCTTTCATATGGCAATAACATTTTATTAAATTCAATTAGATTTTCTTATATTGTCTTTCTTTCCTCTCTTTTAATGATATTGCCTCCGATACTTAGTTTTTAAAATAATATTATTGTAAGTATAACCTGTATGTGTGTTGGTATTGTAAGTACCTAACGTACTAATATATACTAAGGCAAGACATGTTGCATCATCTTTTGTACTTTGGTGACATCAGGTTTATATATATGTAATCTAATTGTACACTTGCTGGAGGCACTTTCACGTATTATTGTCTGCTTTTTACTTAACTTACAGTATTTTTTTTATTTTATTCTCTACAAATTAGAAAAAAACATGTATAATGTTGAAAAACTCTTCCATCGTAATACTTAAAGAAACTATGCAGACATCTCAATAGGTGCTACAATAATTAAATTTTATTTAAACACCTTGCCTATTGGTGACCTTGCTGTATAATTTTTAGTAAATTTATGCTCACGTACATAAGATACCTACTTCAAGCAAGTTTCTGCGTATAGTGAAACTATTGTTTTAGTGCCTAATTAATCGATGATTAAAACTTCAAGTACTCGTAGATATAAGACAATGTTGGTTTGAAAATTATGCATATCAGTTTGTTTGAAAATATTTACAGTAAATTGGATAAATATATATATATATATATATATATATAGGAAATTGGCTGCTATTTAATAAAAAGAAACAAAGTGTAATCATAGAATACTTTAATTTGTTTGCACACAGCCTCTATTGAGAACAATGTAAAGAATTGAGAGGAAGCTTTTAAACAATCAAAAGTTACAGCAATTCATTGCTAAAATTTGTACGAGATTTATCATCTCTGACATAAAACGGTTTAAAAACAATTTAAAATAGCTCAATGGAGTACTAAAATCATATAAACAAGATCCATCCGAGGATCATACAATTATAAAAATCTGTTCAGTATTTCCAGATGTCAAGAGTTTACATAACATTACAAAATATATTTAATTAGTGAAAAAAAAAAAGAATTAGACATATAACTTGCATTTTGAATGGACAATATTCATAAAGTTTAATGAGATTTGGAAAACATCTCAGTGAGGGCATTTTATCTTAGTGTGCATCTCCTGTACTTAAATTATCACGAGGACGAGGTACGGAGCCACGCGCCGCGCGCGCCGCCGGTGTCACTGCACATGCGTGACTAAATCTATACAAGAATCTAGAATTAACGTAACTTACAATAATCGCATATATCATACATCTAAATTCAAGTAACTTATTTTTTATTCAGTTTCAAGTTTTATTATTTTACTTTTTTTTTATAGTTTTTTTTATTTATTTATTTATTTTTTATACCATAATCTCTTGTTTTGTTGTTACCACAGCGCGTTGTTGCCGGTGAAATTTGCCTTCCACGAATGATTTAGTCCGTTAAATGTATAATATTGGTAGACTATTCGACGTTATCCGGTTTCCGGTTGTACTGGGCGGGGTGGGGACGGGGGCCAGCCCCGCGCGGCGCGCCGCGGGGGCCGCGTGGGCCTCCTCTGCCGCGGCTCTTGAACCCGCCCTGGTAGCTCTGCGCGTTGTCGTTATATCTGTCGCGGCCGCCGTTCTCGTTCTGATGCACCTCACCGGTATCACCGTTGCCGTAGTACGCGTCGTTGCCGCTCCTGCTCTGGTAGCCGTCCTTGCCGTGCCTGCTCTGATAGCCGTCGTACTGTCGGTTCTGGTATCCATCTTTGGACCTGTTTTGGTAGTCGTTGGGGTGCCTAGAATGATAGCCGTCGCTGTTTTGTCTACTTTGGTAGGATCCGCGACCGCGGAAACCATTAGACGATCCCCTGCCACCGCCGCCTCCGCGGTATCTTCTGAACCTGTTCTGTCCGTCACCTTGACCCTGCGTTTTGCGATCATCGTCTCGCTCGGGACTTCTGCTCTCCTTAGATTCTTCCTCGTTTCTATCTTCAACCGGTGTCACTGCCTTTTGCTCTTCCATTTGAGGTGGAGTGGGCTCCACATGGATAACTTGGGGTGGTTGTGGTGTGTGTTGGAGGGGTGCCGGTGGAGCAGATTGTGTCACGTGTGGCGGTTGCGGGTGCACCATAGGGGCCGGTATAGGAACTCCTTGGTAGGCATGCTCTGGATGAGGAGGGAAGTGCGGCTGAGGCGGCATAGGAATAGTGCCAGGTTCAGGGACTCGACCTCCTGGTATTTGAACATAGTGTTGATTTGTGAAAGTTTGGGTTGGAATGGGCCCCGGTGGAGATGGCTGGTTTAGTATAGGAGGTTGAGGGGTTCCGACCGGACTATCAATTTCAGATTCCTGGAGAAAGAAGAAGTTTTGTGAGCCTATAACCTCAGCAATGGGTCTTTGTTGGGGGTATTGTTGTGAGAAGTATGCATGTTCTACTTCTTGTAGAGTGATAGGTGGGAGGGGACGTAGGGGATAGCCTGGTGCAGGCACGACGGCGGGCGCGGGCGGAGCGGGCAGTGCCACCGGCGGCGCGTACACTGGGGCGGCTTGTTCAACCTCTTCTAACTCTGGGGTTTGTTCCACTTCTTCCTCTACATTCTGACACTCTTCTGGTTCTGGTACTACTATTTCTGCAGATTTATCAAAATAGCCACACTCATGAACTGTATTCACAATTTCTTTAATATGAGCATATGTTGTCCCCAAAATTTCTTTTGGTTTGCCGTCAATGATAGCATACAGATGTTCAGCAGCCTTCATTGTGTAAGTATGAAATCCAGCCTGTCCTTCTTCATTAACTTCATGTTTTGGAGTAACTTCAGGGTATCTGTAATTAAAAATTGTTGTTGAAAAATAAGCAAAAGTATGAAAAAGCATAATTTAATTGTGTTTCTTACTTCTTGAAGATTACACACTAATAATAAAATCAGTCAAATATAGAACGGGAATACACTCTTGTGTATAGACAATATATGCGGCTTACGCGCAAGTAACTAAATTTTAAGGCGGCGATTGACTCTTAACATTTAGGTGTAATGTATGTTTTACATTACAAAACGCGAGCGCACAATTTCCATACTCTCCAGGAAACCCTCAGTGTCTAAGAATATTCGTTAAATTAGTAGCACCATATTCATTTCTTCTTTTATACAAATTGGATATTCAAAAGTGTTTTGTTTTTTTTTTCATATTCAAATAACAATAACTTAGTAAAATTAATGAATCAATACACCCTCTACATCCACCATTTTGGTTAAGAATGGAGCATGCTTGAGCTGAGGGCTCAAAGCGAATGTTCGACATGTTAATGTGTATCACTATATTGTATCAAGCTCTTCTTGAATGGTACATTACAACCAAATGGTACAAGTCAGTCACCACCTTAAGGAAATGCAAGATGAATTGGTTTCCAACCACTATTGCTATGGAGATGAACTAAATAAACTTTTTTGTGTAACATTTGTGAAATGTCTATTTGGTTTTAGATTTTGTTCAGGTGTTATGGTTGTTTAAAAAATATTTAATGTTTTAATGTCAAATGATGGTAAATTATGTCTAAACAGACCATTTTTATGCAACTTCAAGCTGATTAGTAATATAGAAAAAATTTATACAGTTTCAATTATAAGGTATGTATATAATATTTAATAATTTCTACTGTACAAAATAGTAACATGTGTCACTTACAAGTTATCTAATATTTTCAAGTCCTCTTCTGTTAGCTTTGTTGCACCATTAGTGCCATTGAGAAAATCTTCTCGAGCTTCAGTATTTCCCATTTGCACAAGACAATCCAGAATAAGTAAAACCTCACGAATCTTATTAGTTTCTATCGAATAACGTACCCATGCATCCTGTAAAGAGGTTTGCTCTTGTATAAGGAAATCAACAACAAAGTGAAGAAATTAAGGTAATCAGTTTTAAACTATGCAGTACATACATTTGTAATACATATATATAAAACAATTTCAATATAATTCTCAAATTTTCAAATATCATAAGTTCCCTGATATTGTTACGTAGTAAGATTTCACCTAAAGGGTTAAGAGCAATATTAGTTTCATTTCAAACTAAATATGTTATAATAAGCAGTAGTCTAAAAAAAAACTGTGCCATAGCTGTCCATCAAGTTTTTTTAAGTATGGAGTATTTTAATATTTTGATAGTTAAACCCATACAATTACCTTTTTAGCTTGCTTCTTTGCTTCACGCTCAGCAGCAGTTGCTATTAAAGTGACCTGCTTTGAGAGATCACGAGCAAACTCTAAAGTTTGGGCCACTTCATCATACTTTGCGACAGCAACCTTTTGATCACTATTCAATTCCTTACCAGCTTTTTGCAAGTCTCGGTACGATGTCAGCTTGCTCTGTAAAGTAGAATCGGTTGAAATTTTGTTGAACACTAGCCTATACATATAAAATACCAAGGAGTATAAGTATGCTATTGTTTATTTATAAAACATGTTATTTATGTATATAATATATTTATCTACAGTTAACTTAAAAAATGACCTTATATTTAGGTAAATGATAATGAGTTACTCATTTCATTTCATGCATATTTTTGTGTGAAAATGTATATAAAATTGTCATTACACTCATTGATTTGATTACAATTATTAGACACAATAACAAAAGACGACGAAGTTATTTCAAAAATATATATAGTACTTCGTGTCTGAAACTACTTATATCTATACAATTTATAGGCGTTAATCGAAATACCTAGCTATTTATTCGGCGACATAATGTAACACGAATATTTAAAAAACAACATTATATAAATAATTGTACTGTTTAAAACAACAGCAAACATTTGTATTCTTTAACATTATATTCGTTTTGATGTGACAAAAGATTTGGGCGTCATGGTTTGATATTTGGTAGCAATATTGGAGCACATGTATAAAAATGGCGTCAACGAAATACCGCATCATTATTTACATACAACATAAAGTATACAAAGAGCCCGTTTATACGATTTTAAGGACTTTAATTTATTGCTAACCATAGAAAGCCCTTCTAAAATGATATATAAACAAAAATAATAGATTAAAATAACATTGAAAAATGTTTGTTGATGCCGTGTGCACCGTACTCACCTTTCTTTTCTCCAAGTTGCGAATTTTGTGTTCAATAATAGTCATAATCTGTCGTATCGGTGTATTATCAGCAGCTTCCGAAGAAGCTGGTTTTTCAGACTTTGCATTCGCAGCTGAAGGCATCCTTCACAGGCAACAACTTCTTCTGGATTGGGTATGGTGGTAGTGGAATCGAGGCAAAATCTATATAATTACATATATCTATATATAACTACATAGATACTTCATATTACAGCAGCTGTCAACGAACGAACGAGAACGACGCATTAATTTTTATTCATGTTGGCATCCTTGATTTTTAAAAGTCTAGTACTTACCGATAAAATTAATAATTAATAAAAAAATTGGATTTCACAACCTAAAATCATTAATTTATACACACGGACGATACATTTTTATTATTTATATACTCGATATTGTTGCCAGATTTTTTTCTTAAATATCGCAAAAAGCGGAGACGAGTAAGAATGGAGTTCAAAATATTAGAAAGGTACCCACCCACAACCCTTTGATTTAAAACCATTAATTTTACTGAGACCAACCAAACATTAGTAGACTTCCTAGTTCCTACCGACAACTCATATTTGTGGAGGGTAGGGGTAAGGAGGAGTCCATTATATTGGAGACAAGTTGAAAAAGTGGGCTCACCGCTCACCAAACCTAGTGGTCCCCCAAAATATATATTTTTTCAAAAAATTTTAAAGTTCATTTTCACATATCGTTTGTTCGTCGTTTGTTCTTGATTGTTCTTCATACAATATTGTTTCACATAATACTTTCTTAGATTTACGCGAATACTTGACTATTTAAATAAAACTATCTTTTCGGATAGTTTTATTTAAAATATTGTTTGTTCGTAAATTGTTTATTTATAAATAATTAATCAAAAATGTACCATCAAAATAACCCCCTTAATCGAAATTTATACTTTTTCATATGACTAGTAGTCGTAATTACGGAATACACACGTGGAGATGGCGTAAGGCGTGGGTGACGTGGGTCATTGCTTACGGCCTCGTAGTCCGAAGGGGCTTGCGCTTTGAAGAACGGTTAACATAGAGCGCGAACAAATTGTATAACTTTAATTATTATAGTTATCCATGTGTATAACGAACTTAACTGATTCTTAGATTATCTACATTTTACAACGACGTGACAATCACAGACCAGGATGACATTGACAATTGACATATTAGCATTTGGCGATTTATTTACTACTTTAGTAAATATATTTTTTCACTTGATATACAATAAATTATATTAGAGAATTAAAAAAAAATTTAAAATTTTTTGTTCATAAATAACATTTTTTATTTACTTCATCCAATATTTGTAAATTCGCCAAATATCTTCACCATGCAGAGAATTTTAAGGGTAAGATCAATTGAGAAATATTTTATATATTTGGATAACCTCTTTTTTGTTACGGGATGCCGGTAAGACAAAACCTTTAAAAAACAAAATTTATGTAACTTTATATTGTTTAAATGCTTGCACATTTTGTTTGAAATTGCTTTCTAAGGTTAGTTTGACTGAAGTAAATATGAACAATTTTTTAAGGTGTGTATCATATTTGTTCATCTATTGTTTTTAGGTTTCGTCATTAGCTAGAAATTCAATATTAACTCGTAACATCCATACTACTTCAGCTCACTTTGAGTCGCAGAATACTGAGAAAAGTAAGAATATTTAATTATTGACCATAATATTTTATATATTCCAGAAAACTACTTAGATTTCATTTTTCTTGTCAAAGTTCTTCATTATCCTTAATTTTCTTGCTTTTAGCAATCAATCAAGTTACATTATTAGGAAGGGTTGGTGCCGATCCCCAAAAACGTGGATCTGAAGAACATCCAGTGGTTAATTTTCCTCTAGCAACACATTTTAGTTACAAATATGAATCAGGTGACATATTGCAGAGAACAGATTGGCATAGAGTTAGTGTATTTCGTCCAGGACTCAGAGACACAGTATATAAATATCTTAAAAAAGGCCAAAGAGTATATGTTACAGGAAAATTATCATATGGAGAAGTAAAACTTGATGATGGACAAGTAAGAACTGCTTCTACAGTAATAGCAGATGATATAATATTTTTCCAAAGTCAGCCTCAAGATACATAGGTGTACATTAAATTAATCTTTAAATTTAATGCTTTCATAATTAAATTGTAAGAAAATAGTAAACATGATGCAACATCATGATTTTTTTAGTTATTTTTATTCAATAAATTCTTATTAGAAAAATTCATATTATTTTACATTACCTTAGAATGCATGCTTAATCATCACAATTTAAGAATAAAAGCATTTTAATATTTTTTTGGTATTAAGATATGATTAAACTGATCTTATAATGAACTTAAAATATTATATCACAGTAATCCATTTAAAGCCAAACAAAAAGTAACAAGTAGATTTTCAAAATTCTGACATTTATTGATGACGGGTGAGTACAAGAATATATGTAAATAATAAAATTATAAATAATACACATACTAAAATTAGCAAAATATGTTTTCCTATGTAAAGTGTAGTGTATTTTGGCATTTTATAAGTTTGTATAAGTTTCATACATGTTGATGTCTTACTGCTTACATGACATGTTACCAACAGTCAAAGGTAACGAAAATGTTTCTTTTTTAATCTTCTTAGTTCAGCTCAACGTCGGTTCATGAGAAAGTGTATTGATAAATTTTGTTGTGGCAAATAATCTGTTATTGTTTTACTTTTATAGGGAAATAAGTATACACATCTCATATTTAAGTTTCTTCTTGTTCCCTCTTGCTCAATAACTCCTGTTAGTTTTATTTCAGTCACAATTGTGCTATCATAATCTACACTTATATACCAGTTTTTTTCTTAAGAATAGAGCGTTCCCTGAGGGTAAACAATCTCATAGGTATTTATCTACACATGATATTTTATACTTTTCCGACTCTTTAGGCTGTCTTTTGGCTATTCAAAAAAATCTGATCAAAAAATAGAAGTGGGAGGGGATGAATGTACCACTTGCATATTCGAATGTTGCTTTGCAGAGGTCTATCTTTGGGTAATTCTGATTCAAATGTACATACATACATAATGTAACAAATAATTAGTCTTAAAAATCTAAAAAACACGCTTTTAAATAATAAAAATTTATGGGACTTGTCAAAACGAATCATATGAGACGAATCTCGAGTAGCCCCTGAAGAGTTAGATAGAGGTATCTACCTCCTGCCCTCATCATCAAATCAGCCCCAATACACCGAATTATCGTATTGTGATCTGAATTATTTAAAAGTACACACATTCAATTCAATTAAATTCAATTTCATTGCAATATAACAATTAAAAGTAGGTTGAAAGAATTGACTTCCGAGAATTGATTACATTATTATTTACAAGTGAAGCTAAGAAAAGCATGTTAACATCTCCAGGTAAATTTCTAAGAAATTAATTAAATTTTTAAGAAATCTATTGTTAACTGTAACGCCGGCGTGTCCGCGGTCGTTGAGGGATTAAAGTTAAAAAAATAAAAGAGAAAGAAAAAATAGTAACCTCATTAGAGGAAAGGATATAGAATACTTTACCTACTCTTGAATTAGACGAATAAACTTAAATAATGATTTGTAAAGAAACAGGAAGTTTAAGTAGATATTTTAAGAAGGTAAGTCTGGACAAAGCGAATAGAATGAGCGTAGAAATCACTGAGCCACTCGACTTTTCGAAATTGAGAAACATGTTCATATTTTATAAGACCAAAAATAAACTGTGCATATAAAAGGAGTCGTTTAAGTCAATTAAAATTCTCCTATTTGATTTTAATATGACAAATATATACCAGCAGAATCGATTATTGGTTGGCGTGAATTTGCCAGCTCAATTTTCGCAGGAAGAAAATTTCATGCCTCTCTCAGCCATTAAGAGATAAACTAAAAAAAAACTAAACGTAAACTACTGATAACTCAACTAGGTAATTACTATTACATAGTGGTAGTATTTGCCTAGTCTTTGTATTCAATATTTGATTGCGTGTGCCGATAATAAATGCCTAAAATTTTGTAGTATCCAGATTATTATCTATAACAGTATTATAATAAAATTCTGAGTCAAATCTATACATTAAATAATTTGTGAAAATCTTATTGAAATAGTCATTATTATCGATACAGAGGCCGAATCTATAGTTTTCAAAATTTTTGTCTGTCTGTCGGTTTGTGACGGCATCATGAGAAAACTCTGAGAAATCTATACAAACTTTAAAACGTAAGGTCGCAGGGTCGAACCCGAGCGAAGCGAGGGTGAGTCTCTAGTAATTTATATAATGATGACCGTCGTTAGCATGAGTGGTATTGAGGGAAAATTTAAGGGAAATAGGATTAATGAAAATTTATAACCGGAGGGAAAACATGCGGAGCCTTGTGCAACACCAGCGTTAATTGTAAACTAATTTGACTAAGAATTTTCAATCTCTATGTGCTGCCGGCATCCTAACTCCTTAGGTCAAAGTTTCTCGTATTGAAAGCTTAACTAAAATCCAGCAATCCCTTTCATATGCCATAGTCACGACTTGATATGCCATAGGTACGGCTCTAGTCTATCTAGTATTACGATTAGGATAGATATCAGATTGCATGCGACTTACAAGGTTGTGCATGTAAATAAATCAAAATGCCGATTTACTAAGTGTGCAAGTACTTTTAACAGGAAGAATAGATATAGGATGGCAGTCGAAAAAGCAAGATGGATGAGATTTTTATGAAAGTAGAATAATTTGGCTATCTTTCGTGAAAGAAGGAATTTTAAAATTTATTATAGGAACAATGAGATAATTTATGGAAGAATAATTTAACGGTAGTCTGGCTAACAGCATGAGACTTTATTTGCCATATATTTCTTAAAATCCCTTACGGAAAATTTACACAAAGTAAAAGTAAAGCCTAGAGAAGGCAAAATTTAAAAATGAGAATTAAGCGTTTAACACGTTCAATGCCACTACGATTTTCATGATGTCTTCTCGGATGCCGCATACATTTCACGTTGGACTCGCCAAGCGAGTCGCCGGCACTACAATATAATTTGAATGGACTCGCCACGCGAGTTCACTGGCATTATGTAAGGGTAAAATTTATCTTTTGTTATTATTGTGGCTGTCTTAGTCTCGGTAACGTTTGTATCGGAAGTATAAAGTGTTTGACGACTATTCAGTGTGTTTTAAATTAAAAACATGGCAAAAAACTCAAAGGATAAAATAAAAGGTAAGTTTGTTTCGTAATTTAGGCAATGGTTGTCAACTTTTTATACAGTGGTTATTTTTAATGTTATATTTTGTACTAATAATATTTCTGAATAGCAATTTCGCTCTGAATATTTAACGCTGTCTCCTAGTTTTACGAATATGTTATCAACTTCTATAAATATAAGTATACCATTCGTTTTTAATGCAACTCTAATAATAAAAGGAAATAAATTCAATTATTTTTGTATTTAAAATAATTTAAACTGAAATAAATCAACATTGTACCTATTTATTATTATTTAATATTATTTACAATAATAGATAATACGATACGAGATGAAAAAAATTTTTTTTTGTAAAAAATCTTTTAATTTTCTTCTATACGAAACTTGTCCTAACAATAAAAAATACAAAAAAAAAGAAATATCCAATTTGGTGCAGTTGATCGGAAGTTATGCGTGTAAATATATTTCGATGATTCATTTTTATTTATATAGATTTACATTTTACAGTGAACTCCACATCAACCTACTAAAAATCGAAGTTATGGTGTTGACGACGTTAAAATTTGAGAATCTGCGGCATTGAACTCACCTAGCGAGTTCACGGCATTGCAGAATAAATTTTTTCTTTTAAATGTAAAAAAATACTTTACATCCAGGCCACCATGTAAACGTGAACATGACATCATATTAAGTCTACACCGTAATTTTGAACAGAATATACAGAAGCGTTTTGAAAATATTACCGAAAAACACTGAACTCGCCGCGCGAGTCCCCGGCACTGGAATAAAATTAACGTAAACTCGCAGGGCGAGTCGGTGGCACTGAACGTGTTAATTTGCCTACACTATTTATAGTATTGAAGGAAGAGATATGATAATTTATTAGGATTATCTATATTTTGAGGATTTATATTATACTAGTGACTCACCCTCGCTCCGCTGGCGTTCGTCCCTAGTTACGGTTTAACGTTTAGTATCTATAGATTTCTCAGAGAAGAGATATTTTCCTGCAGTACCTAAAAAGGATTCTAGACGTTGACCTGGATAACCAGCTGTCACCATACCGTCCATCAAAATCTGTTCAGTTGTTTTCTCGTGATGCGTTCCCAGAAAGACAGACAAACAAAAATTCTAAAAACTAGATTCGCCCTCTATCGATAATAATGACTATTTCAATAAGATTGCCCATATAATATTTATTGTATAGGTTCGACTTAGTTAGAATTTTATGATATGTAAAGATTGCGATTTTCCCACTTCAAGATACTGGCTATTTTTGTATTATGATTGAAACTATTGCATTTCTTAAATTAATAGGTTAAATGAGACACTACAATACAATAACATTATTTTCATTTATTTTAAATTATAATCCTACACAATATTTTAGATTATATTTATTTATATTGTGTAGTAGTTGGAAATCGTGGCTGATGCCAAATACAAATTATTGTAAAAATACAAACCCAGTTGTTATAATTCTTACTGATACCTAGGTACTTTGATAAAGCTCCACATTTTGTTTGACAAATCATACATACACTCTTTTGGTTCACTTAATCTAACTTATATTTAACTAATATTTACAAACACAATATTTTTACTCTATGACATTATTTACCTATATTGTTAAAAGAGATCACAGAAAATTGTAGCTGGAAATCATTGAGTAAAAGCCCTAGCATATTCTACAAGACTACCACTTCAAACTTTTTATCACAGTGGATTTTTAGATTGATTTCAAGGCATTGTTTTACGTAAGTTATATTATTGTCTTTTTAACATTTGTATTAATTACAGATAAATCAAGAACACTTGTTCTTATATATTCAATTAATTAATTTTAGTGAATTAAGTTGCCAATTGTGGGAACATCGAAGGTGTACTAACATTGTGGTAGCTTTCATAATTTTCTATACATGCTACAATTGAAATGGTTGCCAATAAATCAATGGAAGACGATAATATTTCGTGTGATATTCTTTGTAAACTCTTAAACTTTCAGCTGTAGCAAAAAATATATAAACATACACGTAACTAATTATATTAACAAAAATGCAATTTAAACGCAACCTGCATCATAGTGCAGTGCAATAGTTGATTTTGGCAACATTTTTCAACGATGCAACTGTTAGTTTCAGTTAACAGTCACTTTAGTGGTCCATTGCACAAAATATTAAAATAGTCTCTATTATTTTAACACAAATAAACTCTTGCCCCCTTTTCTAACTACTTATTTAATTGACACTATTAGATAATAATCACTTGGCACAAAGGCATCATATTAGGTCCATACCCTGTTAGGTAAACTCCAAAAACCATACTAAGTAGGTCAAAGTACTCTCAGTGATAATAAAAATTTTGGACAATTCCATTTATATCTTTTTATTTAGAGGAAGACTGAAATATCTGAGAGGAATTCGACTAGACATACAGTGGCTGGAGTTGGCACAATCTAAAATTAAAGCACATCACACTAACAGTGTTCGGCGTCACAAGTCCTTATAATCATTGTTCACATTTTTCACTTTTTAAATTGAGAGCATAATGCTCAGTGTTATACTCGGATTCTCGTTTGAGCATCATACTGTCGCCGATGAGCGCACTGATGCGATGTTTATCGTGAGGCGCGGGGGCGGGGTCGGCCCGCGCGCGCTTCCGCCAGGGTTCAGATGCCGTCATACTTAAGTCAGTCGGCATATCTTCATCCACGTTATCGTCTTCACAACGCTCCTCTTTCATTTCAGTTTTAACTGCCGCTTGTTGAGGCACTCGCGTTGGGCTCATTTGCTGCCGTAATAATGAAATGTTTTTAATATTTTTGAGTTCCGTTGGGTTTCTTAGAAATCTGCAAAAAACGAAACGCATTATTAATATATGAATATTTTCAGTGTAAAATCAATTGTATTGTTGATATTTTGTTGAAAAACACTTACTGGTAACAATGACGCTCGCCTTGCACTTTTCGAAGGATATTTACTCGATAGTAATATCGCAGAGCACGGGACATCTTATCATAATTCATTGAAAGATGATTCTTCTGAATACCCCAAAGCTTAGCGAGTCCGGCGGGGTCAACAATTTTAAAGACACCAGTTTCTCTATTTTTCCACGCAATGTAGTTTGTATATCTTTGCGTGGGGTCATTTAAGAGTTGTTGCAAAAAGTCCCATAAAAGTCTACCATCTAAAATTAAAACAAGTAAATAATTAAAAAAATAAAAATCAAAACGTTTCAACAAATTATTTTAATTAATTTGACTTTTAAAGTAATTTAATATTATTACTTACTTGTGTTAGATTCGGGCATATCATTGGGAAAGAATTCCCGATGTTGTGTTCGGTAGTGTGAATGTTGAGGGACAACATGCGTTTGCGGCGCCGGACTGGTCAAAGGTGTTTCCTTTGGTGATCGAGGTGCTGAAAATTGAGCTTCCTCATCGGAGTCAGAATGGTTACTTCCGGAACTGACAGCTTGAGCACTCACAGGAACTGGTTGTGCATAAGCAGGAGCATAAGACATAGTTTCTCCTCTTTGAGGACTTCCAGAACTGTCAACTGAAGGGGCTGGACTTAAAGTCACAGAATTAGGTTGGGCTGCTGCAGCGGCAGCGCTGTGGAAGTGATGGAATCCATCAACCGCCCATGTAGGAGTTGGGGGGTGAGAATGTGGTGATGGTGGGTACGGAGCTGCACGCGCAGTTGGCGTAACGGGGGAGGAAGGAACTCTTCCGAGCAAAGCAGCGTCCCGCACCAACATCTGTAGAACGTTGTGTAAAACATCCCCAGCACCAGGACAACGTTCTCCTAAATCAGTTTTCGTTAAAAGGCAAAGAGCTTTACCTGTAAACAAATGATAAAATGTTATTAGTGTTTGATGCAATTTTAAATTCTTAAATGTGAATGCTATATATGATTCTTACCATTCATTTGGAAAAGATCCATATCAAAATTTGGTAGATCAAATTCCCTCTCGCACCATTTTAAGAAAACGGCAACATCTTCACGGGTCCATAATCTCGGTTCTGGTGGTAGACCAGCTGGTAGCTGGGCCTTGGTGTCACCAAGGGGTGATGGAGGGGGCGGTGCCCAAGGTAAAGGGTATCGCCACAGAAGTTCCGTCGGGCTAAATGGCAGCGGTAACCGCTCCATGCTGGGCCCCGAAGGCAATTGAAGGCTAACAACTTTCATGACGATATTCTGTAATAATGAGAAATATCTTATTTAAAAAAAGTTGTATTAAAAATACTATTAAATTAAGTTTGTTTACATCTCATCTTCTCAGCAACAGGTGGCGCTATTGCACGCTGTGCAATAGTACGTTAGGTTAACTAGTACACATTCTTATCTCTTATCGTTTTGTTAAAAATTACGTAAATAGAATTATGACATTCTTGATGTTACGGTAATAATGTTTTGTTATAATTAGATCATTTTCAGTAATTAATATATTATCTATAATTTTGTATGATCATTTTATAGGAAGAAAATCGAATCTAAAACGGTTCTAAATATATTTTGGTTGATATGCAATGATATACATTGTTTGTATTTAAAAGGGAAGCTGCTTAAGTGGGAAGAATATATAAAAGAAATTTTATTCGTGTTTAACTTATTGGAGAGTATGATAAAATAAAACATTTTTTTCATCAATCAAACATATATCGATAACATTTTCATTATTGTAATTTTCTGTGTCCATTATTAGGATTCTCACCTGTTCGTAGCATATTTTATAAAGGCTAAATTTGTTAGGGGAACTATTTATTGTCATATACAATAATAAGGGGAACATCGCCCATTATCAAAATAAAAGGGTGCACGTGCACGGTCCGGATTATAGATGGGCTTTTGTTAGACCATTAGTAGGGGGTAGTGTTTAGTGTAGGAGCAGACGTGGTTAGAGCAGATATGTTTGAACTTCGTGAAATTAACGTGTAGAAAATTTATAACAACGATTTTGTGTTGGTGGCAGTCAACGCTGGCCTTATCGGGCGGGGTCGGAAATGCGTGAGTTCGAGATAGCGCGGCTTGCCACTCGCGATAAGCACCGCTACTCACCGGCTGAGCTGATCCGGAACTGGCTGTGTCGTCAAAAATCCTTTAAGGTTAAAACGATAACTTGTAATATCAGCACATTTGCATTGTCACAGCACTAGAAGCACAGTATCCGATGTTCACAGAGCACCAGGCACTCGCGTAGCAGCAAGTCCCTCCAAACGTGTCGTGTTACGGAACGCCGTAAACCAGCAGCGTATCTGAGGGATCGAGCTCGTAGACAAGCGTCGCGGGCAACTCTCCGACGCGGACTGATGATGCGGCGGCGGCGCGGGCGGACGGACGCGCGTCCCCCCTCCGCCCTCACCTCGCCCTCACACCGCCTCGCTTCATATAATATAGCGGAGACTGAGATAAACTTTGGGAACCCGTTTGAGAATAGAGTCCTATTTTTTAAACGTTTCAAGTGCTACCTTAGTTTTTGCTAAAATTATTTTCAGGTAATAATAATGGAATGTACTACAATGTTATCAAATTAGGTGTTTTGGTGTCTAGTTCTATTGATAGGGGGAACTGCACACCTAGGGCATGCGGAAGTGCTAGTCGTGTAGTAGGATTACGTCAGCGTGCTAGTTTTTAATAATGTGATGTTTCCTTGTTTATTACAGTATCTAAGTAATGACACAAATTCTTTAATACTTATAAACTATAATATTCGGTGTATATGAGGTAGATACATTATATTTCTGTTTTGAATTTATCAATAAACAACTAACAATATCCATTAGGTATAATTTATACGTACAATATTAAACTTTAATCACGCTGGCATTAATAAATGATTAATGATTATTTAGGTGGGAAAATTTTATTTATTTTATTATAATTTCATACTTACTATAAATACTAATAGGAAACGGTTTAAATTTTGCTTCCAGTTTCCTGATGCGAATTGAGACAATATGAGCGTAAACCGGTTTTTAGCTGTATTAATTTAATTGCATACTTATATTATATCTATAAAATCTAAATCATTACATTGGGTAAATCATAAATGATATGAATTACTTTTCAATCCTTTGACTTTGTTGACTCTAGGCTTCCATTATCTGCTACTATGCTATTTTATATTATGTAAACTTATATATTTATTATAAATATTAATCATATATTTTGTAGGTAATAAGAATATAGTTTATTAAGATATATACTTGCATTTGCCCTGGCTGCCTTCCCACTACCGGTTCGAACAGAAATATTCGGCAGCCAAGGCGGAAGTAGCCTCGGAATCTTTACCTGTTGCTCCCTTCGCCCGCCGAATGCCCTGATTATGCTCTCTGTTACTCACAAGACTCTTTCATTAGTGAAAAAGGGATAGAAATGACTGTTATTCATCGAGTAGGTTCATATGTAGTAATTTTGAGAATAAAACATTATGATCTTTGGACGTTCGTGTGCTCTCATCGTGACCATGACCGCGGATTTCGCCGTTACTTTCTTTGTATAAAGTTAAACGTCAAGCAAAGGTTACGTAAACAACCCTTCTTAAAATAAGGACATTGAGATTTTAAACAACTATATTTTGTTATAATATCACTTTATTCTAATTAAAAAACTAGTAAAAAATAAATAAATTATTTTTCTTAATAGTTACAAAACTTGATTTTTTACTACGTATCTTCCTTTATCAGTCATAATAATCGTTTTGTAGAAAGAAGGTGGCGTTGGAATTCGACGTGCGGTCGGGCGGTTGGGGCCGAATCTCAACACATGCGGAAGTGCCCGAAATAAGTTCATTGCGTTAGCATGTAGGTATGTTTGGTTACCGGCAATACTAATAGTGGCGAGTTATATTTCTTTATTCTCTTTATTTATTTATTACCAGTAGGATCAGATTTGTACTAATGAAAGTGCAAGTAGACTATTGTTTTTTTTTCAAGGGTACCTAATTTATACATTATAGGCCGAGATGAGAGAGTTTTTATTACTCATTAAATACATTACATAATACGACATTACTACATTAAAATACTAACGAATAAACATTATCTGTCTTATAATATAGCTATTTAGTAAGTATAATTTTGAAATGTAGGAAATGAAAAAATATTCACAAGTCTAATGCGGAAATTGATTACGAGGGAAAAGGAAATTAACAGGGGACTGAGGGGGCCGGAACTAGGAGGGTCACAACGAATCTCTGTTCGACTTCCTGTAATGTCCACGCTGCGGAAAAAGGAACTGACTTCTGCGGAAGTATGGACCCTTCCGAATTTTATCTATGTCAAGTTAGTTACCGATAATTGTTCGATAAAGGATGTATAGGAATAGAGTATACTTATATGTTTTATTAGTGTGTTTATATGTGTGCGTATAAGTGAAGTTATAGAAATTAGTCACTATTAGATAGATATATCTAAAAATAGTATATTTTTTGTTATATAATATTACTCCAAATTTGTTTTAATATATGTTTTTATGAACTGTTTTGCAATTAATAAACTTTATTTTCATCTCCTATTAGCACATTTTATACTTAAATTAAATTACATTTTTATTCATAGTAACCGACTAAATAAAAATTCTATAGAGAAGACAATTCAAATTAAAAGTAGCTATTTTATCATAACTAAAAGAAAAACTAGAAAATCTGCATTACATGGCGGAAGTCTTGACCGGATGTCCTGACATTTCAAATTGCAATCATATGGAAATGGAGGCATTTCCTGTGTATTGACTCCAACTACTACAAGACAAATACTTAACTTTCTTTACTTATGTTATATTACTATGTATATAATTCAACCACGAAATGAATATCAAGTTTATTTTAAAAACATTAATTGATTTCTTTCATTTACAATATCATAAAATAATACACAACACGCTATCCAAAATAAAAACTAATTTACATAATATTAATTGTAAATTAATAGGGTTTATTTTAATGGGAATAACAAAGATAACAAATTATTCTTTCGCAATATGCAGCATTAGCAATATACGGGTGTTTATATTTATAATATGTATATATTTAAAGTTATATAATATGTGTAGTGTAACAACTATCTGGTATCCATAACACAAGCCTCGTAGCTTACCATGGAACTAGATGGTGCTGTGCGTTAATGTCCCAATATATTTATATTTATTTAATATATTTGGCAACAGTTTATCATGCTTCTCAGACGCACTTCCGAATGATTGCTAGTAGACCGCGACCCCGATTCAGCTGTTGTTCTGCGTTACATAATTTACCGCCACTCAAAACTAGGCAACGATGTCACACCGAAAAGTTGCGCCACTTTCTGCCTGTGAACAGCAAGCAATTTCATGTTGTTGTAGTGGCGAAATTTTGTTTGATAGCCATATTGATAAGAAGGTATTGTTTTTTTTATGTGCACTTTTCTACCAGTCATCTCAACTTATAGTATTTTTTATTTAAATCCGTATCCGTAGTTTATTGTTACATATGAAATAACAATAACATACCAACGAAATAGCAATATTGAAATGAACTTTAAAATTAAAAGTCATAATTTTCCATAGGTAACTAAGTTATATATATATGTATAAACAATTTTAATTGTAAAAATATGTTACACTAACATATGTAATGTATTGATACTTTTTAATTAACATCTTAAGGTTGGTATTTTGCACGTATATTGTATTAGCCATTAGGTATCTTTAAGAGAATTCGCTATAAGTAATTAGTTTCGGTTTAAGTATTTGAAGTATTAATATTATTAAACAACTTGGAGTTATGTAATGAGTTAAATAAATATTGACATAATACATAGAAATAAAAATAGTTTTTTTGAGATATGATAATGTTTATTTATTTTTGTAAGCTTCCTGATTGCGCTGATATGAGAATTGGGTGTCTAGTTGTGTTTATGTTATTATAAATCATTATTCAAATATGTTGGTTTTTTTCTTTAGCATTACATAGATTTCAAAGAAAATTTGTTTTACTTAGATATTACTTTCTGTCTAAACCCAGACTGCATGAACGCACAAGAGGCAATAATTATTCTCCGATTCTAAAAAGTAACCCCCAGTCGAGTTTCTGTACTCGAGTGTCACATGACAAAGCGACCCCTTCGTTGATTTGGGATCAACATGATCAAAAAAATCAGTTAGGGAACGCACTGGGAGAGCCGGGATAGAGCCCATGCTTATGCACCGTATTATAAATGGTTTAACACTAAAGGCGCTTATACTGAAAATTGTTAAAAGCTAAGAGAAAAAAATAAACATCATATAAGTAATATTAACATCTAAAAACTATTCAGATTTTATGAAAGAAATTAAGTAATGTTTACAAAGTTAAAAATTAGCACTTGAAAAATATTTGTCTTAACGAATAACTGAATTTACGGACATGGAGGTATTTAACAATTAATCGATATATTATAATTATAAGAAGATATACAAAACAATATTTCATTATTAGTTAGTAGGTACAATACAGTGTGACATATTATATGCGCGTCGTAAAAAGTGTATCGTCAAGGGGCTCGCATGGTATGTCCCAATCGGGCCATGTGCGCGCGCTCCCACGCGTAGTTGACACAAACGTGTGCGCCAGCGCCACAGTATACTCTACATTGCCTCTATGTGTGCGTTACCGAGCTGCTACTTCCTGGTACAATGCGCGAGATGCTTTATTTAAATTGTTCCTTTGTGTGCGTACGTTTTATTATTTATATTCATCTACCTCTCTAGGAATATTATTACATTAACGCCGTGTGTGCGTCGAGTCTTTTTAATCTCTATTGTACTTCCTGATTATACGTCTGTGTGAGTGAGCCACTTGTTTGAATGTTAGGGCGACTTATCTCAGCGAGGGACATAGTGCAGCGTCCGATTACATTATTAGTCGGGTAGGAATGTTTTGTTTTTATTTATACTTATTATCGATAACTTTTGAGAGTTGGTAGTAAATGAGTATAGTAAATAAGAGATAATAAAAGTAGGTATATGTACCTTTCTAAAATTAAAGAAACCATTTTTACTACTTATTACTTTATAATTTTTATGAAAATATTAAGTGTTGAACTTATCTACTTGGAGCTGACTGTCAGCTTATGTTTACATTCGTATTGGTAACAGGAAGCATAAACTTCGTTATAACGTATCAAGCATACTGTTCTTGGTATAAAACAATGCCAGTTCCGCTATTGTTTGCAAAACGACCGATTTCAGGAAGTGACCAATTCTTTTTAATGTTGACTCAAATTGTTACACATTTATTTGCCTAGTTTTAATTATTTATGTATGCCACACTTGTGACGTCAATAGGTGTAATATTCGATAGATGTAGGCATAGTTCAGTTATTTTTATAATAAAAGTATTTATTAATATTATGATATAATAATATGTACCTACTTTGTTGATGTCGATAATATTTTAATCCAGCACTATTGACATAGGAAGCAAGTGGACAGATGCGACTCAAAGCCAGCAGTTTGCACAATTTGGAAGGGTCCAATTGCACTCTCAGAGGGAGATCTATGAATTTTACTGCCAAACCCTCCTGTCGTACACATCTGTCGCCATCGACTGTGGATTAGATACAAACGTCATTAATTGATTTTTTTACAGATGCGAAGGGTTAGAGATTACTTGTAAATCTTATACACATGTCGTTTTGGTAATACATAGTTAGTGATTTTACTAAAAAAAAATAAACACTTAAAAGAAATTAATTTAAACTCATTTAATTATTTTTTATAAAGAATAACATCAATCTTAGAAAATATTTTTGAGTAATATAATATAATTTTACTGCTTATTACATAGTGAATGCTGAATACTCGCAAATTGACATAATTTAGATTTTGAATGCTATGTCTTAATAACTTAGCTCAGCCAATATGCGACCTAAGCCATCATAAGCGCCGACGTCAGTGCTTGTGTAATACAATTATTGCTGTTACGCATGTTTATGTTCTGGAAGGGACAGAGATGCACTTGTAAGGATTTTGCAACTGATTCAGTAGACTTCCTCGAATAAACTTAGTGAAATATGTAACGCATACGTAACCTGAGTAGTAAGAATAATTAGGTAATCGTACAAGTTAAATGCAATAATTTCTAAGTTAACGTATAAATGTTATTTAAATTGCCTACATTTAGAGGTTAACAGGTTTATTATTGAACTAGCATTGCCCGCGGCTCCGCCCGCGTTCATATGACCAAAAACCAAATTCTTAAGTTTTACATATGAGTAAGGTATAGTCGCCAAATTCCGTCCCCGAACCTAATTTCGTCCCCATCGGTATCTCTTTTTCTAAACAACGCCATCTAGTTTTAATAGGTAAAATCTAAAGTTAGTTATGTCAGTCCGCCATTGTAAAAGTTTGACGGTGAAACGTAGCTCCAGGCGCAAAATATTAAAAAAAAGAAAAAATTGTCCAAGGTGAGTTTTTAAATAAAATATTATAACTACTGTTTAAATATGAATGTATTTGAGATATTGTAATGAAATAAATGACAAAATATGTTGATATTTTCTAGATTTACCCCGATTGCAATTTTATTTAGGTTATGCCATGTCATTGTGGTTTAATGGATGACATCTACAAACTTAAGAAATTCGTAATATCGTCCCCTCACACGAGCCTAATATCGCCCCCGGGGCGATATTTAGGTCACTTCATTTGTCGTTAAGCTTACTTATTTTTTATGTTTTTAAATCTTGTTTTTAGATGCCGAAGAGAAAGTTATGGGATCCTCAAGCAATGAAAAAAGCCATAGAAGCGGTCCGAACTAAAGAAATGGGGTATAAAAAGGCAGTTAAGTTATTTAATGTGCCAAGAGCTACTTTAAAAGATTATGTCAAAAAGTCTGATAAATCTGTTGATGATATAGTTTCTGGAAAAATGGAAAGAAAACCGATTTTGCCAGTTGAATTAGAAGAGGAGTTGGTAAACTATTGCCTACAAATGGAAAAGAATTACTATGGTGTCGCCGCTTCGGACTTAAAACGTATGGCTTTTCAATTGGCTATTAGAAATAACATTCCACATCCATTTTCACACACTAAAAAGAAAGCAGGTAAAAAATGGATGAAGTTATTTATGGCTCGCCATCCCAATTTGTCGTTTCGTCAACCACAATCGTTATCACGCGCTCGCGTGCAAGGTTTTACTGCTGAAAATGTTAAATCTTTTTTTGATATACTGAAACCTGAATTAGAAAAGATTAATTTCAACCCCAATAAAATATTTAATGTCGACGAAACAGGGATCAGCATAGTTCAGCATAAAGTAAGAAAAATCTTAACGGCAAAAGGTAAGAAAGCAGTTCACAAATTATCTTCTGCTGAAAGGGGAGCTTTGATAACAATTGTGACTTGTATGTCAGCTTCTGGTCAATTCATTCCTCCATTAATGGTGTTTCCTAGAAAAAACATGAAGGCTGAACTACTTGACGGAGCACCTCCAGGCACCATAGGTGGATGTCATCCTTCGGGATGGATCCAGCCTGAGTTATTCACAAAATGGCTAAGACATTTTGTGTCCATAGTAAAACCATCAAAAGAAGACCCTGTTTTGCTGATATTGGATGGTCACTACAGCCACACAAGAAATTTAGACGTGATTGACATTGGACGTGACAATGGCATATCCATAGTCTGCCTGCCTCCTCATTCAACTAATCATATGCAGCCTTTGGATGTTTCATTCATGTTTCCCTTAAAAACATTTTATGCCCAAGAAGTAGAAAATTGGTTAACAAATCATCCAGGGCGCATTGTTACTCAATACCAACTTGGAGAAATATTTGGAAAAGCTTATGCAAAAGCATGCCAAATTGATACAGCTGTAAATGGCTTCCGAAAGACAGGGATATTTCCACTCAATGAAAATATTTTCGTAGACTCACCAAATGCTCCTCTTTCAACAAATTCAAACAGCGCAACATCTATTGTGAATGACTCCTCCGTTTCTTTGGAACCCACAACGTCTAGACCAAGAACACTAACGGCATCACCTAGGTTAAGCACTCCTTCCTCCCCGTATATAGTTCCAGCTGACATACAACCTGTTCCAGTTGTTGAGCCTCCTTCTACTACAACTAGACGAGGCAAAGCCATGGTCGTTACGGCTTCACCTCATAAACAGGAAATAATAGATGCAGAAAAGAAAAAACAACAAAAAGATGAAAGAAAAGCAGCCAAAAAAAGGGTTAGAAATTTAAGTAAAATGACGACAGGAAGAAAGAAAACAAATAAGCGACGTAAGAATCAATCTTCTGACGAGGACACGTCTGATGAGGACCCTCCAATTTTAGTTTCTACTGACGAAGAAGATAGTGACAACGATGACGCTGAATGCCCAGTATGTCAGAAAAGGTTTTCTCAAGATATACATGGAGAGAAATGGATAAGATGCACAAAATGTTTCCAATGGATGCATGAGGATTGTGTTGATAATCCAGTAGTAAATTTTATTTGTGCAATCTGTTTTGAGAATTAAAATTACTTAAACTATACCAATGATTAACAAAAGTCTGATTACATATTATAATAATGATTATTAATAATTACTTTTAAAGATAATACTTAAGTTTACGTACTGGTTATTGTGATCTCAATATCGTCCCCGGGACGAAATTACGCTTCGAAAAAAAGTATATCAGAATATTCTAGTTTTTTGTTTAAGCTATTTTTGTAGAAAAAGTAACAGAGTTAAGAAGTTTTTGACTATTCAAAGTAATAAAAAAATGTTTCAACTTAAATCTGATGTTTTATTTATAACTTCATTTAGTATATTATTTAAGAAAAATATTTTTTACAAAAAGGGGACGTTATTTGGCGACTGTACTATATAGGTACTCTTACAATGCAGTTTTTGTATTTTTTCTCAGAAATGAGATATTTTCCCGCGCGGTAAAGAGTATCCTATATGTCGACCCGGATAACCAGCTATCATCATACCAAATTTCATCAAAATCTTTCTAGTGGTTTTCTCGTGATGCGATAACAGACATACAGACAAGACAAAAATTCTAAAAACTATAGATTCGGACTCTGTATCGATTATAATGTTTATTTCAATTAGAGTTTCCAAAAAATATTTAATGTACAGATTCGACTTAGTTACAATTTTATCAAATGTATAGATTAAAAATTAATGGAATGATAATTTAAATCTTTTATTTACTTCTAGGGCTCTAGGTTAATGTACGGTTCACCTTATTGCATTGTATATAAAAATAAGAATTTCACCCAGGTATTGAGTTTTTTATATTCCTCTCTATTGAATGGCATGAGAAGACAGATCAACCCTTCATTATAAGTTACACAGGTGTAAAATCATTTCAAGCCACGCCTCACCCTTGTAAGGGTTATAAGCTTTTATTTTTTACTCCTACGATGTATTTAGATTTTATCTATTAGAAATTCATTTACTCAATGATTTCGTCAGATGACATTATTATTGGATGCCTTTACCCTTACTTTAGACAGCACCGCAACACTTACATAAGAGATAAATTATTGTATTGTTATTAATATATCTATATGTACATATGATGTTCTCCTAGCCGATTCCGGCCACGGCGGCCAATCTTATTGAGACTAGCCAACTGCGCAGGAGATATTATAGTGCACAAGTGTACGCACAGACACAAGTGCACTCTCTATTCCTGTCACTCTCATACTCTGGTGGGACGACCATTCGACACGACCAGTGAGAGTTAAGGCGCAGGACCGACGGCTGTACGTGTACATATAATAAAATTATAACTAAACCGAATCTGTACATTAGTTATTTTTTGGAAAATCTTATTGAAACAAATATTATTCGATAATAATTCATCCTATAGATTCGGCCTCTGTATATCGATACACAGGCCTCTGTATCGATATACAGAGGCCGAATCTATATTAATTGAATAATTTCATTTGAAACTAAAAAATAATCTTACATGTAAGAAAAGTGTAACTTTGGCTGATCGCTGTCCGTAAATAGAAGATATTTGAGAAAAAAAATATATTATTTTGTCTGATTGTCTGTGCATTTGTGCGTGTTAATCTCAAAAACGGCTTAACCGATTTGGGTGCGTTTTTCACTAATGTAATATGTTTTATTACAATCGGTTCATAAATAAAAAAATTGTCAATTTTAAGAATCGCCAAATATATATATCGCTAGTACATGTAATAGGTATAGGTGAATCTTTTGGATTTGTATTGCATACTTGTACACTCGATTACAAGTACCTCCTTACTATTACAGCAGTGCTTGATGCAACGGTTATGTCAGATTGATATTTACTTAGTTTCAATTGTGTTGTGTTAGCACTAATTAAAACGTAGAAAGAATAATTATTGTATCTTCCAGAATTATTAATTAATACATAACTATAAAATTAAACACTATATTAATATCTACCATATTAAAATATAATGAGTAGGTACTAAAATATGAAAAGAAAAAAGAATTATTCAAAATTAAATTACTTTACAGATATATCTAATCTTTTTTTTTTTATACCACGTCGGTGGCAATCAGGCATGCGGCCCTCCTGATGGTAAGCGGTTACCGCAGCCTATGGACGCCTGCAACACCTGGGGCATCACACGCGCGTTGCCGACCCAAAATATTTCATTAATCTGAAATATTTACCTACTAAGTATTAATAATCGTACAGTTTTTAAGTCTCGTCAATGACTATGCATATATTCTCAGTGACAAAAAGAAATATTGGTGCTTTAACAATATATTCATATTGTACTTATTATTATACCTACTTTATATTACATCATAAAATTTATTATTGTACAGCTTGAATGTTTTAACTTTTAATATAATACTAGCGGCTCACCCTTGCTTCGCTCGTATTCGTCCCTAGGTATTATTACGAGTTAATATTATGTACGTTTTAAATAGATATAAACTGTTATTAGTTTTCGTGATATATCAGATTTTTTTAATATTTATCCTGCTGTTCGGGACGGAGACAGTTGTAATAAATCAAAAACCATGCAAATCGGTCCAGCAGTTCTCGAGTTATAAGTGTTGAAACCAACCCGACTATGTTTTATATATATATAGATAACTTATATGACGCCTTAAAAATCTCGCTTTCATATAAGCGTCATAAAAATGCATTTTGCTATGTGGTAATAGACAAAACAATTAAATGTGTATTAGGGGCGATTAAGAGGACCTATTAACTCAAGGATAGTGTAAAGCAGGCAGACCGCTTGTTATTATTTAATTACTCTTAAACGCTATTTCCGGTTGGTATCAGTATTTAGCGGTTACGTTTTTCCCGATAACACTTGTGATTTTGTGACCGAACTGCATTTGTAGATTTTGGTAGAGTCTGTTATATATTTAATATTATTTACGTTGGACAGGCATAGAGCTATTATTATACGGTAATATTGCTTGCGAATTTGTTTTATATTTATTGCCAAAACGGTAATATTTATTGCCAAATTTGCTTGCGAATTTAACTATGTGTTAAATGTCTGTGTAGTGTGTAGGTATAATATAAATGTATAGCAATATATAAAATAAATTAAAATGCTTATTTCTTTAGTAAAAAAAAAAAAATTCTGAACTAAGGATGTAATTACTTAAAATTGATATTATCTATGTAACGACTTTTGCTTTAGTAAAGTAAGAAATTCATTTTGTCCAGAGTGACAAAGAGCATCATCGTGAATACATGTCACATCACCCGTGAAACCCCAGCTTTGTCCTAAGTGTGAAAGGGTTCACTCATTAGGAAGATTGCGAGGGCGCGGTGCGAAGCAAACATTGTCTATTCCTATACGAACGTTGGCACATTGTTCCTGCCCGCCACCTCAATGTTGCCAGTAGACATTATACCGTTGCTTATGCTCAGGAAGTATACATTTTTCCAGCAAAGATATGAGGCTCAACACAAAGCAAATGCATTCGGGTTAAACAAGAGTCTAACCGGGAAATGGAAGATAAACGCGGCCATTACCGAGATTACACCATATTATATTTGAACCTTCTGTAACCCTTGTATTTTTGCACGGCTTTATGTACAAAGCGAAAATGCACGCAGATAACGTTGAAGTTTAAAAGGTTTTTTAGTCTAAAGCAACAGTACATATATTCTATTATATGTATATCTATCTCTGCATGTTTTTATATGATATAGTGATAACAATAATTTACATATTTATATGTTATTATATACATATACTCACATAGTTGGTACCTAGATACTATATTTATTTTATTGACTGAAATAAAACATTCGCCAGCTTATAGGTACTATTTAACCGGTTTATCATAACATATTTAATTATTAAAGTAATATAAAAAAGTACATCTAATTGCTTTAATCATAATGACCTTATTATACAAATCCCTATATATAAATAGTTTGCGGTTTAAGAGGATTGTGACGTGCTGATACGCGGCGCGAGTAGGTTTTAAAAAAATGCTATCTGTTTCATAGCGCTCGCTTTGCCAACCAGTATGGTGCGATAGAGAGAGTTGCAAGTCATAGAGGCAATTACCTACATTTACTTTTTGAAATATTGTTTCAATAAGTGATAACGTTTTCATCCCCCTAAACATATACGAAATGAGACAATTTTGGTTTCATTAGAACGTACAGACGTATATTAAGGTGTACTGAAGTACACCTTAATCTAGGTATGTACCTACGTTTTTCTTTGTTAGTAATTCTGTTTTGTTTAATTAAAAGAAATGAAAACGAAAAGGAAGTTTTTAAGCCAAAAATATAAATATTTAGATGCTAATAACTTCTATTGTAGGTACAATTCATTTCCAAAAATCATGAAAATTAGACTATGTCTACGGTGGGAAAAACGTTTACGTTTTTTGTATGAAAATTTATAGCTCCACAATCCTCTTAATTCATGACAGATTCACAGATTTACGGAGGCTCGTTTAGTTTTCTACATTATAGAACATAGAAAAACAAATATAGTATAAAATTAGAGGAGATTTATAATTATTTTGGCTATATACTCTATTTATGTGATTACGAATAAATTGTACTCGGGTAAATCGGCACAAATAGACGATGATGATAATCTTCACCTTGTGTTTAGTTTAATATTTGGCATACATAAGAATAATGACAAATTGCGTGACAAGTTCCGTGGTTTTTGTCGCGTTCCTCATTACGTAAGGAGGTGTGATACTGAGCCTGGAGCACATTGGCTTGTTCTTATTATTTAAACAAAATATTTAAGTATTGTTGGAATAAGATAATTATTTTTTACGTAATATTATCTTTTAGCTCAGCGGGAAGATAACAATGTTTTAGGTATAACTTAAACTATCTTTATGAACTCTACAATAGTCATATTTTATGCTCACACTATTTGATTTGATTTTTTGATTTTAGATTACCTTTGGACTTAACGATAACGCTATTATCCATGACAAAATTGTATAACATTTATAACGTAATATTAATTTTAGCAAATAGATGTAAATAAACTGTTACG